CGAACTATGGGGCGTTGGAAATCGAACGCATTCCTCAAATATATACGTTTTTCTTCCCTATCAACATAGTTTGGATGAATTTTCGAGCGTAAAACGTGCGGGGAGTTTTCTGCTCGAATTGTGCGGTTATTTTATTTCTTCCTCAGCTTGCACATGGTCAGCAAGGGCGATCGTTTGCATTCCGGGGGGGAAATAAAGTGCTTATAACAGGGTGATGGAGAAGCTTCTTCTGGGCGCGGTAATATTGTGACTCTGCTAAACTAATATCAGTTAAGTGTAGATTATCAGCAAGGGCGATAATCTATGCCTTTTAACGGGCTTTGTAAGTGCCTTTTTGCCCATGTTCGTTTATACGGTCGCGCAGACCGCTGATCCTGTATTAATGTATTACGAAACTTTCTGCATGCATCCCTTTCCTTGGGGTGGGGTCAACTTGCTTTGCTTCGTTGTTTTGGCGGTAATTTGCCTCCACCCTTTTCTGAGCGTAACTATTTGGAATTTTAATGCAATGTATTAATAAATATCTTTTGTTTAACAGAAATAAAGCGGCTAGGAGAACCATTACTCCTAGCCAAAATTATCCCAAAACGGCGTAAAATTTAATGTGTCATTATTGATGCTCAGAAAACTGAGCTGCGGAAAGAGTATGCAAAATTCATGCCTGGCAATATATCTATGCGTAAATAAATCACATTACATAAAACAAAATATTTACGAAGGAAATAAGAAATTTATGTAATGTGATTTTATAAATAGACTACTAAGGCAAGGTGTACCCCCAAGGGGATACGCCTTGCCGACGATAATTAAAAATCTTATATTATGGGCTTTGCGTCCTATCTAAAAGACCGACAGGTAATGGATGGCACGCAATATGGGAAAGGTGGTCAATGGCCAGCAGCAAATCGAAAACTAACAAAGACCGAATACCCAAACCATAAACGGTCAGTTTAAGCGTGACATCGCGAAAGACAGAGCTCCTTTAAAGTTGAACCCACCTCCTCCCCAAAGCCTCCGCTAAAAATTATGTACATTGGACGATTTACCGTAACTGATATATATAGAGGAAGGAACGTAATATCTTAATTAGTGATGGTCGTAGGCCGTATCTACAGGTGCTGGCGGTAATTTGCCTCCACCCCTTTTCTGAGCGTAAATATTTGGAATTTTAATGCAATGTATTAATAAATATCGTTTTGTTTAACAGAAATAAAGCGGCTAGGAGAACCATTACTCCTAGCCAAAATTATCCCAAAACGGCGTAAAATTTAATGTGTCTTTATTATGCTCAGAAAACTGAGCTGCGGAAAGGGTATGCAAAATTCATGGCTGGCAATATATCTATATGCGTAAATAAATCACATTACATAAATTATCTTATATTTGCGTCATTAGAATAGAGACGTATATAAGGCACGATTACACTATGCAATTTTCCTTCTAACTTGCAATGTAATTATGATTTTGAGAGATGTTAATCGGTAAATTAGGTTTGAAATTCGAAATACTAAGAAAACGTTGGCAAGTCCTAATAAATATTCGTATTTGACAACTTTAGATGCGTCAGGTGTAGAATTGGAATGCGAGTTGCAAGGAAAGATGCATAGTGTAAGCCCGCCTTTATCCCTATAGTCTGATCGATTTGAAGCGACGCTTTAGCCTGTTTCAGGGGCTGTTTACATGAGCCCGGTTACCCGAGATTCAACGAGGCGTGAGATGATTTTGAGGTGTTAAAATGAACAGATAACAAGAGCTTGGCAGTCGTATTATCACCTTAACAATAGCATTTTGGTGTCATATTGGTGTCATACTAGATTTATTTTAATACCTCAAAGTCCTCTTACGCTTTGTTGAATCTCGGGTAACCGGGGCTCATGTAAACAACCCCTTAAAACGTCGTTCCTTCTCATGCGCCAAACCCATTTAAAACAATAGCTAATTGAGATGCATCATTATTAACTATTGTTTTTTATTCGGCACATGAGAAGCACGACGTTCAAAACAGGCCTTAGGCAAATATTACAAAATAGCTCAAATTAGCTGGATTCTCGTAGCTCCGTAGGCCCTAGCTTTAAACCAAATACAAGTCTTGGGGTAGCAACGTAGCTGGACTTTAGATTGTGACTGGATTGATTGAAATCTATTTTATTTAGTATTGATGTAAATGTCGTTGTGTCGAACAGTCCAAGTATAAAGCAGCAAACACTGATACAGAAATACAATTCGTAAGACTCAGTAAGTAAGAATATGGCGGTGAATATTGGTAAATCTCTCGTTCAATTATACTTTGTATAACAACTAACAAGCCAAGCATTGTACGGCATAATATATACTGACAATTAAAATACTCCCTACAACATGATGCATCGTTTGTTTTTTACCACTATTAGTGTGGATAATAAAAAGTTTACGAACCTTGATAAGTGAATCACTGCATCGATCTGGCTCTGTAACTGTCGAAGTTCTTCGGCTTATAAGCCAGGTATACAAGCCCACAGTATTCACACTCATTATACACGCTCGTGCTAGCAACCCACTGAATATGTTTACTGTTTAGTGAACTGACAAATCTATGGCCACGTGTATCAGTCATAGATAGCCATCCGGGTCTATTATATCTATGGTATCAGTGTTTGCATACATGAAATTCCTTTTTCGATACGAAAAATTTTCCTCTGCACCATATTCGGCAGCACTAAAATACAGGGCCTTCGAGAGGGGGGAGGGGAAGGGGCAAGTTGGGCATAGGGTCCCCAACTTAAGAAAAAAACTAAAACTAAAGCACCTTGGGCTCAGTGTATTATTCGCACATGAGCCGAAAGTACGAGGGACAGTCATTGTTATTAATTTCTAATTTCTAAGATACGTTGATATTGTTTGTAAAAAAGTTTGTTTATTAAATATTTCACATCGCTTTGAGGTACTTTTTATGCATCGCCTGGGATATTTAAAACCATGACGTCATAGGGCCCCAAAAAATTTGCCCCAGGCCCCACAATTTACCTCGGCGGCGCTGCTAAAATATGCCATAACTGCGGAGAGATATTTTTGGTTGCTTTAAGTAAAAATTAAATACCAAAACTTACTACATTCTGTTACACTCACATTACTCTGAATACTTTTAAAGACTAATTCATCGCTCTGATGCAATTTCAAGCCGAGTTTTTCCATTTTTTATTTACATGGCTGCATTCTGCACGAGCAAAGAAAAACTAGGTGCGATATAATAGGAGTGGGGGGGGGGGGGGAGGGTTGGGGTTAATACGTGCATATTCGAATATCAATATTGGGCTGTAAATTTCCACCTATTAGAAATTTCCACAAGTTTCTTATGACAGCAGGTATTTACGAATATTATCGTTGTATTAACTCGTTTGGTGGTAAAAATAAATACTAATTTAGCGAACTATCGTATTGGGAGGCTATCAGATAGCACGTTACCATTGCTTGTTCCCAACTTCTTTTGGAGTTTTTTTGCTTTTACATTGAAGGCACAGCAAAATATAAAAAATCAGTGACAGGAATTCAACGATAATTTTCAACCTTTTTCCGAATAAGCCAATAAGACAATTGTTATCACTATACCTAAAACGTTCATATTCATATTCTAAGATCATCTCATTCGGCGATTGGGTAGTTGGTAATAATTCCATGTTCAATCCTAAATAGACGAAATTGATTTCATCCTTACGCCTTATACCATCCATATATATAACAATCATACAAAACTTACACCACCGAGTGTTTCCTTAAGGCTGCTTTCCACTTATGTCTAGGTGAAAATCCACCCTTAATAAATGTGTTGGTCCAACGTCAAAAGACAAGATTCATCTCTGAGTTCAGAATTGTCTTTGAAATTGCAAGGTCAGGTGCAAAATACTTATTTCTCTACGATTAAAATCCACTTCCACAGATTTTGATGTCTTTCAAAACTTTCATTCCCTCGGTGCGTAAAATTGTGTTTTTCCAGTAAAAGATTAAGCAGTTAAATGTACCGTTCATTGAGCCAATGGTTTGAGCCCACATTCCAACAAGGTGTGCAACATCAAAAGCTTTCCACTCATTCAAGTTCATCCTTAGTCCAATGTAGACAAACGAGGGGATGGATAACGCCACCAAACAAGCGACTGCTAGCAAGCAACTCGAAATATTCTTCAAAGAAAACGTCTTTCTTACATCCGGTGATATTTCTCTGTTTCCACGACCTTTCTTCGTGATTTTAAACAGCTTGTAGTTTATGAACAACATCGGTGGAGTATAAATGGTTAAAAAAATGAGGTTAGCAACATGGAAAGTGATAGCAAAGTTTAGAATCATCAGTAAAAGTACGAGTAAGAAAAAAATCAGTATCGCAAACAGGGTCAAAATTTTCCCCTTCGTTACAGATGTTCGATGAAAGATGGGATGATATGTCGCCAAATATCGGTCAAAATTCATCACCAAAAGAGCGAGCATGGATAAACCAAGGAATGCAGCTGTTAGAGTTTCCGAGATGCTTATCCAACCACCGCCGACAGTATTTTCATCTCCAGTGAACCATAAAACCAAAATATAAGCCATGAATGGATTATTAATTGAGACCGCAAGTAAATCGCAACAGGACAAAGTCATTATCGTGAAATAGCATAATTTCTTTCGAAGTTGCGTTGATCTCCAGAAACTGATTATGACCAAGGAATTTAAACATATTCCCGAGAAAAAGAAACATATATTCATAACAAACAGGAATATCAAGTTGATGGAATATCTGAACAACATCATTAACGGCGATAATTTTCAGTATAGCTTCACAACTATGGGACGTCTTAAAGTATATAAACAACGCGCAAAATTTGCCCAATATAAGTGTCAAATTTATTAATATCATAATATCAAATATGAAAAGGGCGACATATCATGTATGCTGCAATTAAAACCAAGCGCATGCACGAACGTCAAACGGTTTTGATATTTTCCTATTTCAGTCAGCCGACTATAAAGGCGCTTAAACGCCTTAAAGTCCCGTTTATACACTACACTTAATTTTTTGGCATGGCACGGCCAAAATGAGTACACGTGTCCAATTTTATTAGTGTTCAGGATACCAAAACAAAGGCCAGGCATGGATGAATTGAGCACGGGTACCCATTTTAGCCGTGCCGTGTCATTAAATTGATTGTAGTGTAAACGGCGCTTAAAATGACATCGCACACGCAAGGTTTAGTCGACCGATTAAAATCGTACGACAAAAATCGCGTCGTGTGCGCCAGGCTTGAAAATAGTGTTAGGTCCGTCTCAGACGTCGAACTTTTCGACTGATCAGAAGTTAATGAACTGAAAAATAGAATTTAGCTCAATAGGGTTCGGTACATGAAAAGTTCGTCGTCGAAACCTGTCTTATTCCAGTAGAATAGTTTCTACAAACTGAGAGATGCTAAGAGCTTAAAGCTATAGGTGAGCGAGACCATTAAAAATTGCATGAAAATTTGACAATATAAATATGAGATACGTACGTTGTATGCACATGCAGGGGTTACGGGTGGCACAAATTAAATCATTTCCTATGAGAATGAATTTTTTCCTATTCTGAAGAAGAAATATCGTGACAACTCTGTCAACTGGTATTGCATTAAAGTTAGTCTGATAGGTTTAGATATTAATTTGGCCTCTTGCAATTTCTTATATACTATATATAATATATGAATCGATCCTGACTTATAAAAAGCCCGGCCTACTCGTTCAAAAAAAGCACGTAGTATAGGCCTTCCTACAGCACATTATAGACTTGCTGAATAATAAATATACAATAATGTAATGACAAAGGTGATTATTGAAAATACTGGCCTCTGATTGGTCGATCATTACACGATAATCACATAAGCAGATTTTTCAAAATGGGGGCGAGTTGTTTTTGTCGAAGTGAAAAAATAAAAATATGACAAACTTGATAAGAAATGCTGCACCTAAAAGAGCGAAACAAGCGGGAGAGAAAGTTTTTTCGTGGTAAAAAACTACATTATAGAACGGTGGTTAACTTAATTTCGATTTAAATCAAAATTGTCGAGATAAATTTGTTACGTTTGTAAAATTAAAAGTATTTTTTACAACAGATTGGACATCAGATCAACTGATGCTAACTATGGGTTGAATTACAATTCGTTTACACGATTGATTCAAGAGTTAGTCTAATTTTCCAAATGCTATTGGTTAGTTTGATAAGTTGCTTGTGTTTATAAAGATTTGTTTGTGTTTCACTTTTAGTCTCTTTAGTGATAGCCCCAGATCAGTATCTGCCCGATATCAATGACTATTGTTTTATCAACAATAATTTCAAGCAACCTTCGTACGTACAGGGGGGGAGGTTGTTAGCAAGCAGAACGAAATAGGTCGACTACTGAATGAACATGAACCTGAACTTCGCCGTTTTAATCTGTGGGATGGGTCGACTAAATGTCTCCTGGGATTTTAATCGTGCCTCAGGTATAAATTCCTTTAAGTTTTCTTCTGCTCTGCCAGTGTGTACAATATATCTAGCAGTAAATCACGGCTTAGATTCGAGATGCTGCGCGATTCTGTTACCTAAAATGCAAAAAGAACGAAGTTAGGGGGTCCCTAGAACCGTTTACGCTGCACTTTATTTATTGGCATGGCACGGTCAAAATAGGTGTACCATTACCAATTCGTTCTCTGCGCGGCCTTTTGTGTTGGTTGCCCGAGCACGGATAAAATTGGGTACGCAGGTATACCAATAAATTGAGTGAAGTGTGAACGGGACTTCAAACTCTGAAAGTGCCATCTTAACCAATATATCGAATGGGTGTCGATATTAATAGTGCATAAGACTCATGTGTATATATGAAATGAATATTGTGATGTTGCTACTCTGAGTCAACAACCGGGTGAGCTGAAAAATTAGCTTGACCACGGTGGGTGTCGATATGATTATAGCCTTTAGTAAGACCCTTGGAAAATATTCTGGGGTATTTGGGGTTTAACTCTTAGATCAGTTGAGGGGATGCACAATCTCATGCATGCAGGTAAGTAAATCGGGGTTATTTACGGCTTACCCTATCTGGTTTTTGTAAAATTAGGACTAATGCAATGTGCTAAATAAAACGTTGAAAAAAATAGGATAACATTACTTTAGGAAAGTCTTGTGCAATCAATGTGAGGGCATGTTTTTTCATTTCTGTCGCACCAATCTTGTCCGCTGCTTCTAAAACCTGAAAAATATTCATTGCTATCTAATACACTCTTTAGAGAACTACGTTATTTTTCTTTAATTCTTTAGGATCCACCTTTTTTAAACCAGCTGCTTAAAACGCAACTACAACGTAAGCTAGTCCACGGTCACACCAACAAATTTGAATAAAATTTTTGTCAATAATTCAGTTTGGAAGCGATATAGAACAAAAACCTTCGAATACAACAAAATGAATTTCTGTTATAAATACCTCCACGACATTTTTGAAAGATACATTCATTTCTAAGTTGCTTTTACAAATTGCCTAGAAAAACGGGAATAAATATTTGGATGACTCTCAGGTCAGTTTAAATACAATAATTTCTGAACCAATACATGGCAAGGACATACAACAGGCTTGTTTTAAGTCTTTTCATGAAACCATCTTAACGGAAAACGAGTAGGTTTTGACCAGGAAATGGATATGACGTGATTATTTGTCCTTGTGACGTGTAATCCAGAACATGAAAACCGATTTACGGCAAATTACGGCGTATGAATTGCGAGGACGACAACTTCTCATCCGACATTACAATGACATACCTGGAGCCTGTTGTTGGTAAAACCGAAGAAATATGGCGCGGACAAAAGATATCTTCCCCAACGTTAAGATAAAAATCAACATCGAAAGCTAACGAAAACTCAACGTTATCAAACGCAACCCGTATTTTATTCTTAACAGAGACATGCTACGCCAATCTCAACAAATGTATGCATATTAGTTGAACACATTTCTAAATGGGAAAACTACGAGCTTCTCGTGAAATTCCACAGCCAATTTCCCCGGCTAACATACCTTTATTGTCTTCTTCTTTAAAAATTCTCGCTATTCTATACGCTACTAAATCCACAAAGCATCAAATTCTTGTATTCGGTAAAGCCGGGACTTGATTTTTATGATGGCGCTTAAACCCAGGGCAAATCCTTGGTGCATGTGAAAACCCTACGGGAAACCACCTGCATGAAAACTGAATGTTACTGTATACGTGATGCGAATGTTACCGAAAATTAGCATTGTTTATAGGCTTAGGTTTCATTCTGAAAGGTTGGTCGTACGGCGTTTGTGGTCGCTAGTCAGTCAAGCATGCGGAAAATATCATTTTATTATCTATACAGACATTGGATCGTAGAGCATCGCAGGACGAATAAAGGTCATGAAAATCAAATTTCAGAATACGTTATTGCTCAATGAGGAAGGATACAGAGAATCTTCAGGAGGCATTTTCACGTCACCATAATAGATGTATCTGAGCAGAGAGTGGAAGGATTGAAGAGATGGAATCGTATCACCAATTGTGATCTATTAATTCCAAAACACACGATTTAGAAAAATGGATAGCACATCACTCATCAGGCATTTTATGAACGCACGTGCATGCACACAAAAATATTAAAGGGAAATCCGAATTGGTTCTGCTAAATGGTTAAAGTGAAAATGGATTAAGTTGGAACGGGCTACAAGGCCTCTGGTGTAAAATTGCGCACGTTTAGAATTTTCTGAACATAATTTCTAGCTCATGCATATTCATTGATGAGCGTAGCGACCTTCACGCGGTGTGATATATATTTACACAATACATCCTATTGTAAAAATACAGAAGTTCAAAATGTATAAACAAACGGACTTGACTTCCGCTCGTTTTTGACTTACCCTGACGAGCCCAGCATCAGGCATGAAGGATCTAAACATAGCTTCAAAGTAACTAGTAAGGAACAAAACACAATCATCGCATCAACATTTATTATATCAAAATGGTAAATAAATAAACAAAAAAACCTGGTCTCTAAACTTTATAGAAAATTAGTATTTGTGATAGGTCGGTTTTAACTCTTAAATGGCGACGGCGTTTAAGCAAGAAGGTTCGACATAGTTTTTATAATAAAATGACGTGAGCAGCTGGTTTCGTCATTACAGTTAACGATGTTAGCTACATTCAAAATTGATTCCAACATACCTACATCGTGCTGTAAGAATTGCCTGAAGCAAAAAAATCGAAAAGAAAATTTTATTGCATTATTATAATATATACTTCTTTAAATATAAGAAGATCTAATTTACAAAATCAAGAGATTTTGCTTAAGGCTATGTTACACGGTGCAATTTTTCCTGCAACTTGCAATGTAATTCTTCTTTTGAGAGATGTAAATTTGGCAACCAACAAACTTTTATATCTTCATTACACTCCATGGCGTTTCTTACACTAACATTTTAAAGATTCTTGACTAATTTACATCTCTTAATAATGGTAATAGAACGAATAAGAGTGCAATTAATGCCAAAATCATACGAGTGATTACAAAATCGTTAAGCACGACTATGATTTGGCATTAATTGCACGACTTAATTCGTTCTATTACTTATTAATTATCCATCTTCTGTAATCAAAAATTCTGGTCATTTTCTTCAGCAAATATATCATTTAAAAGGTCAAAATTTTCAAAATCATTGTCAAATTCCTCCATTTTTAAAAATTTCGCGCCCCAAAAGAAAACAAATTCTTATTTTGTATCCTGAATGCTGATTGGCTACTTGTAAAGCTTTGCTGAATTTCATTGGCTGTGAACAAGAGTGCGATTACAGCTCACCAAGAGTGCGATTAATGATTAATCGCACTCCTGTAAACCAATCAAATTGAAGTATTTGACAGTGATTACAGAAGATGGATAGTTAAAAGTAGAATTGCATTGCAAGTTGCAAGAAAAATTGCACCGTGTAACATATATAGCCTTTAGCTTTACATAACTGAATTCAATCTTATTAAAAGCCCGGTTTAGTGACTCGGTTTTTAGGATTGAAAACCGGGTTTTTGGGATTGAAAACAGGGTCACTGAACTCAATAGGATGTGTTATTTAGACTTAGCACCGAGATAATTACCTTGTGAGCTCTGATGTGGGTATCGCCGACCATCATTGTAATATCACACAGATTACCGTCACTTGATTCATGCCAAAATGACTTCAAATCATCTTCCAGAGAAGACACTGAAGGACATGCAAGGATGTTTAAAACAAAGTAGGGAGGTGGGGGTAATTACTGGCGGGATATGGGCAAAAGGATCTAAAAACTCAAAGTCATTCCAATCTTCGCGGAAACCCAGGAATCCGGGATTCTAATAAACAGTTTGTTAGTCAGAGCTTTATATGAAGAAATGCATGGGCAAACCCTATTATTACATGATTATTAGCTACCTGAATGGACTGTAAGTTGATGAGGTTCAGGTACTGTTGCCTAGAAACATAAAACCAATTTTTATTGGCTAAAGTAACTTTATAAAAACTTGGTTAAGACAACCAATTTTTTGATTGTATATATCCACACAGTAGAAATGATAAAAAAGAGATGAATCTGAGGCAAACAATTTCAATAATTAGCTGTTTTAACATATTTTGCAGAGTTATTCCAGGGAGATTGAATGTGATATTTTTACATAAAAAAGGGCTTCAACGTAAATCTCTTTACACAGAGATGAATCACGGCGTGGAAAAAGGTTTAAGTTACGAAAATATTTCTTCAGCCACAAGAGTCGCCCCGGTTCATAGGAACAGTTCTTAAATTACTCGACGTTTCTACTTACGACAGGAAAATGGAGACGTCGCACAATTTCAACCATCAGGGGGGTCGGTAGCGTTTCAAACTGTTGGGTCATTATGATCGTCTTGAAGTTTGAACCACGTACGATAAAGCGAAGACAATAATCCTAAAATAAATAAAAATAAATCTGCTATGTATACCTGCATATATAGGTGGCTATAGTAACCAAATTCAACAAAAATAAATATATACAACTTCACTTTCTTCCCAATCTTATCCATTCTTTATTTACCTTCAATGCGGCCAGTTCTAAACGCGATGCACAATCTAATGCCATCAAAACATTACTTTGGTTTACAGAAGTTTCAATATATTGGACACAGATTTGCTCAAGTCTGCCCAGCTCAAGCTAAAAAAATCAAAGACATTCCGGCCTATAACGTCAGATTGCATGGAAGGCATACATATTATTACATAGATATACTCAAGCATGCGTTGTAGCATAGCTCAGAAACAGAGTGCCGATTCCAACGTAGACAACAACTACCTTTAAGGCGACACAATAAACATCCATAATGATACGAATAACTTCAAGTTCAGGGACGTCTAGAAATTAAAGCAATACACAGAAAAATTGCAGTTACGTTACATACATAATATACATACACGCAAAGGCCACGCAGTTCATTCAAATGCAATTTTCTTTTCTTAATGAGCGTATAGGGTTGCATTCCACTGTCGAGGTTTTTTTGCACGCACGTAAAAGCTTAAAACCTTCTAAGGTGTGAGCCTTCTATGCCAGAAAAAACACACCATCTAATCATCAACAGAATCCAACCTTATGCATCTATTCAATCGTTGATTTCATAAGTATCATTTAAATCATTTTAAACTTTTACGTGCGTGTACGATACGTACAAAAACGTGACAGTGGAAAACAGCCATTATACTCCATATCTATCCATAACTATCCACTCGTTTCTATCTGTCAGAAAACTGCACCTTAAATGGTGTTTATTCTGTGGTAACAATATACTTGCCTTTGACAAGAGCGTATATGGAGTCCGTGTACATGAATCTCAACGCGATCGAGAAAGCTTCTGGTTGGACATCATCAATAGTTATCTTGAGTTTCTCTTCCACAGCAATAGATGAATTAGCCTCAATCTGATGTGAACAAATTAATCAATATACGACTACTTGAAATGCATAATTTCTTAGAAGTGCAATATACACAGCTAATTTTGTCCAGTAAGGAAAATGTGGAGCACTTTATATACACTTGCATGCAGGGCTTTTCTTATGCTCTCGACATTTTAACTTGCTCGCAGACTAAATTATAATTTACCGGAAGTTTCGGAAGGAAAAAATTCAAAACCCGTAACCCTTTCTAATTTTCCCAGGAAAACCAAAACTCAGTCTGCGAACAGGCTATTAACACTTGAATAGAGAAGAAACCTTTTTCACTTGTTCAATCTTGTTCTTAAGCCATCTTGAACGGCACGCAACAACAGTCGTGTGAGCGTCGATTTCATTCTCGTCCTGTAACAATTCAACCACATTTAAACAAGGAGGAATATCGTTAATTTTAGACTAATCAGCATGCTTGTTTACAAAGCCAAAGCCAATCAGTATGCCTTAATTTTTAAAACGTCATGTAAATGACGGTTACTGACATGGTTTCTGATTGGTTACTGAAAATGTAAACAAACTTTCTAAGTAGTCTTAAACGAAATTCCCCCTTGTTCATTTCACATCAGTGGCGGATAACTATTTAAAAATTATTTGACCTTCTCCCAGATATGGACCACGTGCTCACATTATTATTATTATGAAGAATATTAAAATTAATACCTTTCCTACAACAAACGTGAGATCACAAAATTGTTTGCTATCAAGCAGCCTTCCAAAATCATCTCGCAAAGTGCACCTTGGGTAGCTAGAAAACTGTGTGAATAAACACACGATTAAGGGAAAATTTCACCTGTTCTATATCGAGGCTTGATGAAGACAAATCATTGTTGATCCACTGTACAGAAACTTTTCCGACCTCACGACTGGTGCAAATCGTGTTTATGGAATAAATGCACCGAGAGAGCCCTTACTTGAAATCTATACATTTCTCCATTTCGAATGTTGTTGTCTAGAGTTCCACCAAACACGTACATTGCGTCATCAATGACGTCAGCAGCATGGAATAATCTGCCATGCGGAACCTAAAATTAGCAAGTTAAGTAAGGATTTCACTCGATAGTATAGATATCACCAGCGAATAGAAATTGTACAGACAGTGGTGACAGTGCCGTGGCTAGAACGATTGGGGAGTGAATCTGCCGGACGGATTTCTTTTGCGAGTTCAACAGTTGACAATTATTGAATGAGGTTGAACATGATATGAAGAATCATCAAGCCGAAGTTTGTGCTTTTTGCGACTAAGTTTCTTCACTAATGGCTATGTGGATTTTTCTTACTCGGAAATTTAATTCATATCTTCTCGCGACCGTTATAATATAGCTACACGCTGGTATACGTAAATAATGAAAACATCCAGTAATACAATGAGAATTTGTGACAAGAATTTAATAAAAGTTTGCACATTTTCATTATTCAAAAGTTCTGGCCATGGCTAGTGTAAGATTCGAATGCAAATGAATAAAAACTTGAACTCATCAACCTAATGATTCAGCACACGAAAAGTTCGACGTCCGAAACAGGCGTTATAAACAATTTACCATTCACTTTTGTCATATAGAGTTGTGACATATATAGAATAATTCCAAGTGTGAAAATACACAGCTCATATGCTGCACGACTCCTTTATCATTTTTACCTGGCTGTCCTCTGAGACTTCAACAACATGCCACGTCTGGTCGTCAAGATCGTAACTATGGGATGCAAAAAATAACATTAGCAAGTTTACGATTTACGACGGGATCAGTTCTCATAAAGTGTGAAATATAATTTATTGATTCAGTGCGAATAATGTGCGCTAAGGAACAAGCGCATGACATTTAACACAAGCTATTAGATCGTAATTCAGCAATTTCTAAATAAACTTAATTTAAAATTCTTTTACAAATCAGCAGTTGGCGGATTAGAACAATATTTTCCCCCGGTCTCAAAACTTGATACCTTTACTTCGAAAAAATAGTTTTTATCCGGACTTCCAAGCCGGTAAACAATGTATATGTAATTATTACCGAAAACATCAGTGCAGGCCGCATGTGCTGTAGAACCTTTTCATATTTCATTCGGAAATATTTCTGTTCCGAGGAAAGAACCGCAAAATTAAAGCACAGTTAATATGGTTAAAGACATTTGAAGTTCTTCCCAACGAAAAAATCATGCATGGGAAATTTTCCTCCTTTTCCTCCTTTTCCGAGTAAATTAAGACATAAAAATAAGACTTAGGCAGGAAACACCGTCCCTCCCCTCCTTCCACATGACGACGCTTCTGTGGCAATCTTAAGCACCTAGCCTCGGCATGGTTAGTGGTCTTAGCGTATTTTGAGTTGACAGTATAATTAGTTGATTTGAATTACAATATATTAGATAAATAGAGAATAATACATGTATGCTTGGGAATATGGAATTTATTTTAAGTGTTGAGAATGATATCGAACGAGTGAGCGCCCCGAACTAGTGAGTGACTTAAAAAATCAGGGATTCAAAACTTTCTGGTCAAGAAATGAAGTCAATTTGATTGGACAGTGAAAAGGTTGGCGCCCAATAAAAATTGCTGAATAATGAATCTAAAATGTCATTGGTAAGTGGTTGATCGCACGATACATACCAGTACAGATCATTTGGAAGGATATTATCAGCAGTTCCTCCAAACACGTAGAGATAGGACTCGTGTGCAACCATAGTATGACCATACCGACGTTGTGGTGAGGGTGGAGATCCACGTAAAATGTGAGCATTGGATATGCGTCGCCACCTTCAGAAATATGCGAAGATATTCAGCTTATCTTTCATTCAGAAAAATGAAATATTACCCTCGGTCTTTTAGACCGGCAGGCAATTTGACATCTTCCCTTCTTACACATGCAGACTGGGGGTAGGTCGGGCAAATGTGACCGGCTAATGGCTAGGGGCAATCTGAATTCGATACGAAGGCTTGATTATAATAATTTCGTCGTGTTTAATCCAAAATTGAATCTGTCACTGCATGAAAACATTTTCACTGTGTATTCAGGTGGACCATAAAATGCGAGTAGTTGTCGCGTTTCTAGGGCGTGGCTCCAACGTTCCGTCACTATTTCTAAGTATTAACATGTGTTTAGAATAATAGTGTTTACTTTAAACCTTATATTATACATTATTTTGTACAGAATAAAAAAATATTTAGTATAGTTTCTGATAGTTACAAAGTCGCAATTCCAAAACCACCGTCACACAAAGAACCCCTGCGCGCTTGCTTTTTTCAGCTAACCTCTATACAATACCTGAATGCAACGTTGTATATTTTACTATTAAAGCGCCTGGGTACGAAGCTGGTCACACAACGGAAGGAACCCTTCATTCTATATGTGTGCCGCACTTGTACTTCTCGTTGTGCGGAAGACGGAATGGCGGAGACGGAGCTAGCAAACAATAATGGGGCGCAAATTGGTTCAACACAAATAAAACATCCCAGGAAAACGTTCACACTTACTGCCTTGTGTCAAAGTGAAACTGAAAGAGATCGTTCGTGATCTTCGCCCCGCTTTGCCCGGAAAAAACAAACATGGTGTCCCGTGCGATGGTTACGGGAAAGTTGCAACATGTCGGTGGACCCTCGCCAATCTGACGAACCTAAGATAAATAGATACGTGTAGCCTACCATACCCACAGACCTGTGACGGGGGGTTAGAAAAATTCTGGGAGGGAAAAGGCATCCCATCAAAGGTGGTAATTAATGATGATGCTTCTACACTTTTGTAATTAGTTGTTTGGTGAAAAAAATGGCATTCTTACTTCTTGCCATAAGGCAGTATCAAGACTTGTTAAATCCAACACCCACATGTCATTGAGCCTGTGAAAACAACGAATTACGGTTTCATAGACTGTAGTAAAACAGGATGGATAACCAAACATAACAAATTATTAGAGAATGCAAAATGGATTTTTATTTCGGTTTCTTATGAGCGCGAGATCCCCTGGTCAGAAATGGGGGGAGGTAACCTCACATTGGTTCTTATGTTCTGTACACTATCCACAACGCTGCACGTTTGGAAACCGCTTGTTTTAATCAACGCCAAAGCTGTCAAAAGTCTAGATTTGAAATTTTTAAGAATAATAAAAATTTGAAAAAGAAAGATTTAGTCTAACATGCGAATTCTCCATTGGTGAGTTTTACTAAGAATTCTAATCAGTGGTCATCCTAGAATGCTTTAACGCAGCACAGAACTGAGCCACTGGTACAAAATTGTACATATTTTCCACCAAGCAGAAAACAAAGGAATAGAATAATGAACCAACTCACTCCGATCGCCCAGTCTCGATTTCGATTTGAGTCATTTGACCATCACGGAAATGACGTCGTGACTATGACGTCACATGAAATCTTAAAAATTGCTTATTACGTACTGTACTACGTTAATACAAACTCAGACCTTTTACTGCCATCATAGCCCGCAAACACCCACAACTTGTGATCGTGAACAGCCGCACCATGGGCTGAGCGCGCTGGAGGCACCCTTCGAAATGTGAAAACAATTGTGAGATACTTCATGTAAAACTGCATAAACCTACACCTCCGAGTTTTGGTTGAAACACGAAATATATAAACGATCCCACAACTTACCTTCCTTCGACTGGCCAATGGCACCAATGGCCATTTGTAAACTTGAACTTATAAAGATCATTTCTGTTGAGAAGATTCGAGTTCGAGTTTATATCACCTTCAGAAATACAAAAATAAGTTTGAGCTGTTTGTATGTTTGATCATCTTTCGTATTGCAAAGAGCCAGTGTAAAAAGAACTTCTGTTTTATCTTACCAGTAAAACCACCAAAAACAAACATGCTGGTGCCATAAACAACAGCAGAATGGTTGTATCTTGGTGCTGGAGGGTTGCCTGTGGTAACCACTCTGCATATTACAAAAATAAAAATGTATATTTTTCACTGGTGAATGGTTTGTGGAATCAGATTGGTACATCATTGATAATTATTATATACCCTAACTACATGACATTTTAAACAACATTTCATCCAACCACTAATGGTGCATAAAAATCAACTTTATATCAAAACTACCTTCCCCATGAGCAGTCCTTCGCATCGAAACGTAACAAATCATTCAGCATTCGTTTCCTGAAATTCACAACAATAAAAACAAGAAAATTATATATTCCAACATACATAAGAGATTATGATGGGGCATCTGGGCTTACAGAGGAACATGCTAACTGCAATCTCTCAAATCAATAATTAAGTTGGTTGAACCAAGAAATGAATTTTTATTTTACAACTAGTCCCAGTCCTAATTTCCTGTCATTTCACATGACCTGGATAATATTTCCCTTTCTCCCCCATTGCAATGTGAATAAGCCAGCAAAATGCCTTCTTGGCAACTCAACCACCTTTTTGTCAACTCTTACAAAAACCTTCTTACTAAAGTATGTACATTTTGTGTAATCTGTTATTTGTCTGTTGGCCAGTGTTGGGATAACCAATTATTGCATTAAGCAAGCATTTAATCACGTTATGTGACAACTCACTTATGTAAAGTAAATATATTGATTTTCTCACCCGTCATCGCCACCAAAAACATACAGAGCATTATTGTAAGCAACCATTGTATGTTTGCTGCGTCTGTCAAGGACAAAACAAAGTTTATTTATACAAAATTGAATATTTTCAGTCATACAATGTCAAAAGAATTGCAGCTTTAATTGTCAGTGCAGCTAAATTGCTACTGTACTTGATCTTATCTACATCAACAAATAGTTTTCAAGCTATAATTTCTTAGCTTGCCCAGTTGGCAACTTAATTAAAGCATCATCTTATTTTAAAACATTTTCTTGATTGATTGAAAAGCTGACTGGTTCTATAAGAACTCATAGTGCACCTCTGTATAATCATCTGGCATCAGATAAGATCGAGTATATGAGCTTGGAAAAATGCCAGTCAATAGAGTTTTCCTTTATTTTCATGTCTGATTTGGCAATCTACCAAACATTTCGAAGCCCATTTACGATTATATGATTATATGAAGCCCATTTACGATTTAGGATTATAGCTAGTTGTTATAGTTGTACCATTTTTATGTTTATTTGCTGATAGCAAGGCTCAATTGCAATCAGATGCTTCATACAAGATCTACATACACCAAGGTAATTAGACTTAAGACTACATTGTTCACTCTTACTGTCCAAATATTTTGGATAGTATCTCTTGCAACATTACTTTGCTAAAGATGAAGCAAGCATAATTCAAAATAAATGGACATTAGAATACTTTGAAGTCTCTGATTAAAGATTTCTAATTGCTACAAATGACGTCATTTCTAGAGCTTAAAAAAACAAACTGTCTGTGTGTCAGTAAATTTGACTGTCTGACATTATACCTCGCTCCTACAAACTCATCACAAGCTGGCATTCGTTTCCACCTATGTACCGTTTCATACGGGCTGAAATCCAGTGTCAAGCACTCGAAAATATCGGAAACATCTTCGTTCTTGCAGTCATCAATTTGATCAATACTTTCATCTTCGTTCCTAGCGAGATTTCGGTCGTTTAACGGTAACAAACTCATTTTGCATTCTGCGTTTATAAAAAGCCTTCCTTTAGACAAGCCATTTCCAAGGTTTCGTGGCTTTTTGCAGCACCATTTAAATCCATAAAGCTATAAAAACTTATATATTTGGTATATTTTCCAAATATGTCATCAAAAATCCAAGTCAAAGAACAGAACCTTGTCCAGCGGAGTGAAACAAACGAAATAATGAAATACGATTGGTCGAAAGAGATCGAGATAGCCAATCAAGTGTAAAAGCTGATTTAAACGAGCCCGCGTATTTCCTCTAATTTAGCAATTAGCATCAGCTGCATGCTGCTGATATTTCTGCATAAATCTACACGATACATGTATGATGTATATATTATATTATACATTATACGGCATTGTCTATAGTCATACGATGAATATATTATATATACTATGTAATATCTATACGATGTAAATATTGTAAAATCGAAACGTACGAAACGAAGTGTTGAAGCAGTCTTATTGTAGTGTAAAACCTGTAACGAAATATTGTAGAAGTTTCCACACCGAATTCGCCTTCTAACGGAAAACCTAACAATACCAAATAATTATGCGACCTTTAATTCTGCGAAAGAAGGAGGAATTTCTTTTTCAACTTAATCAGCAAATTTGTTTACATTTTTCGGCAAAGCCAATCAGAACGCCTAGGTTTGCAATACTTCATGTAAAATGGTGTACATAAATAATTTGCGTTTTTGCCACAAGCAGACAAAATTTATGCATTCTGAATGGCTACTCAAAATGCAAACAAAATTGCTGGTTGGCAAGTATCTGAGACTTGTCAATCAAGAGTGAATCAGGAGTGAACTTTGCATTTTTAAGAGTTTTAGAAAGTTTTTGAGAGATTTTTTAAAGTGTAATTTTTGAAGTGTAATTTTCTGCACGTTTCAGTTATGTGCTTCATAGCCTCGATTTATCCATTGATGAAGACGGTTTATGTTCTTCCAATGTCAAACGGCAGTATTTTAGTTTAACAGTCAGTTTTCCAATACCTGTATGCATTATGTTGGTTTCGTCAAGGGAGCCACCTTAATTAAACCCTGATTTGCTAGGAGCTCTGCGCGCGCACTAATGGCATGATAATACATAATAATTGTTACCGTGGCAACTGCTCAAATTAAAATGATTTAGGGAAATTAAAAAGATAGAATGATGGGAGGAAAAAGCCAAAAACCTGTTGAAAAAAGATCACGAAAGACTAGAAAGAAACGCAAAAAGTCTAAACATGAAAATAAATTCAACGCGGAAACACCAATTTGTATAAAGAAAATGACAGGTACAATTAATAAATTGCATTCATAGTTCAAATTCAAAAGACATGATTAGCATATAATTATACACCCGTTAACGCAACGTAACAATAGTTCGACTAGAAACTGAGCAGTGAAATGGTTTGTTGAACCTAAATGTAACTGATCTATAAAAAATTCCATTTTCGTGGAGTGCAGCATGCATACATGAATACTCGCATGCATAAAACTTTATTTTAGCACGCTACCAAGCACTACCAGATTTCCAAACAAAGCGTGCAAAAAAATGACACGGATAAGGACTACAGGGGCCAATTGTATAAAAGGTTAGTTAACTTTTAACTGTACCGAGTTGTGGACAGAATTGGCCAATCAGAGCCGTGTATTTCTGAGTTAACTAGGATTTAACTATGCAAAATGTAGCTGAGTTTTATACAACCGACCCCTGGGCCACAAAGACCACAGCTCCGTTTACAATACACTCCCAATGGGTACCCGTACCCATTTCATCTGTGTTCCGCCTTTGTTTTGGTAGCCTGAACACGAATAAAATTGGGTACGGGTACCTATTTTAAGTACCTATTTTGGGTACGGATACCGATAAATTGAGTGTAGTGTAAACGGGGCTTACATTACATGAGACTATAGAGCCTTGCTTGAGAGAGTTTGGGGGCATTCCTGAAGGCTTTCCTTCACTAAATTTCCCTTGTGAAAAATTTGCAATAAATTATCCTTTTTTCATGGCAGATTATTCAAATAAAAGTGATCAATTTGACGTGGATATTGAGTGCAAACATGAAACATCGTCGGATTCAATATACGACTCGACCGAATGCAATTTAACAGAAATATCGCCATCGGATTTTAACAAAGTCGCTGGCATGGAAAAAGACGAATTACCCCGACGCATGGATAGTGACGTGTGTGGGTCTTTCGAGGCCATCATCTCGACTAACAATTGCGGAAGAAAATGGCCGCCTTATTGTAGTGACGATGAATCAGCTCGCGATGAGAAGACGATCAGGTGGCGAAATCGCTGCGATAATCCTCTGAAAGAGGCTCAGCGAATAGAGGAGTATAAAGCGAACCGTAGGCAGAGATATTACGATCAAGCAGAAAGCAAATTGACTACAAATCGATACTACGCTTAATACTAAAGCTAAGAACTAGAATAACAACCTTTGCTATTGTTTTGAAAAATCGAAATGAACGTTTTGGCGTTACAGGTTTGTCGTAAAGGATCAGTTTTTCGCTGTGCTAATGGACCTTTAACTTTCTTAAAAAGACGTCACTCGCAGGAAGTCTGGAGTCACACTAAGTTTGATTGTCTAACAGCTGGGTCAATATGCGGTAAAGAATGTGCGGCCCTCGAAACGCCAAACTCTTCATTCAATTTTGAGCGCTCAGCCGGAGGAGCCCGGAGTTATTTGCTACATTAAAATAACTCGATATTCTCTTTCGCTCAGTTGAATCTGCGAGGTATGACTTGGTCTTGGGAGGCAGCTGCCTTGGCCTAGGTATTCCTCTGAACGCCCTTTCCTAGTTTACGATACTAACAAGCAATAAAGCCTACTATGTGCGATCAACTTAACTATTGTTTAATTTGGACGACAATACACCTTTGTTTATCGCGGTATAATCCCGCCTTTACAATCTTCTTTTCACACAAATACTTTTCACGTAAATACACATTTTGAAACAAGCTATAAAAAATACTCTACTTTAGCATCTGTATATCCAGTATACTGATCTACACTTGGTGGGTTCTTCGCAGTTGCTATCGGTGCTGTATTCGCCACCGGCGTCAGAGTTCCGCAATTTCAAACTAAACATGTAAGTTAGCTCAAGTTGGCTTGGAGTAAATACTGCTGACGTAATATAGTGATTCGTTTGAATTTGGCACAAAATTATCTCGGAGTGATATTTATGCGACTCCGCAGTCGCTTCGGTCTCTTCCAAAACGGTGACAGGCATATCGCTTTGTCTTTGGTCAACCATCATCGTCAGTTTGGAACGGAACAGTTTGGGATAACACAAAACGGTAGCGACGTAGTGCTTGTGTGTTTGAGTAAGATTTCGATCGAAAGATGAAATATAATTCCAATAGCCTCGTCGCTTTTCTATCGTGATGGTCGACGTGTAATAAAGCGACGAATTTGAAGGCAAAGCGGTTTCCGGAATATCTTTGAGCATTTTATCTTCCTGGCCCAAACGTCCAGGGATAATCCATTTCCAACCGGTATGAACCATGTTGAAAACCTAACTCCGGCGCTTGTTTGGTCTTGATTCTGAAATCAGTTCTTGAAACTGCACGGAAGAAGACACACACGCAATTATTGGAAACGTTTCTAACATGCAAGCCGTGTTTTGCCGCAGTTTACAATTCAACAAAAACGTCCCGCAAAGCATCGCATTGTCTCGCTCACGGCACACTACAATAACTTTTCGATGAGCGAATAAAACAATATATTATTGCCTTGTGCATGCTTTTGCAGCTGCCCTGTGAATGGATCAATCTGCAATTACATCCAATACTGAGTATTCTGAATATTCTTATAACGAAACGCGTTTGAACAAGTTCAAAAGCTAGAAGTCATCTGATATCGTGTTAAATCTATACATCTTCGGTTCATTTATTTAGATTTTAAACATTCTAAATTATCGACTATATGTATTGTAAAACAAAATAAATTGGGCTTTGGATAACACGGTGAAATTTGCCTCGATTTTTTTATTCGAGCCTAGCCATTTATTTCATATTTACATGTTACAAAAGGAATAATTGCGATTTGCTATAGCGACGAAAAAAAAGTAATAGAGATCTTAGAAGCAATACGTATTAGGCTGTTAAGGATATCAATATGATCTTGCGCAATATTAGGTCTTCAAAACATGCAAATATATAAAAATTGACTTACTATTCGAGCTTGCATGGAGCAGCAACTTTATAATTCTGACCCATTTTTCGATCCGTTAATTTGCATTCGTATACAATCAAAACAACATATTGCTACATATTGTATTATTCAAACACTGCACATTTGAATACATTAAAGTATAACATAACAGACACATGCAGACATTAATGAATTCCAAATATGAGCGCGCTATTGAGGAATTAGCAAAATAGTCAGTGATATTGTTTTGTCACAGCATTACCGGTGGCCTAGCGGGGACTTATACAATTTTTTTGTGTATAAAACGGTAAAGTGCCTTCTTGACAACTTGGCTTCAAAGAAAACTTCAATGACTAAGTACCCTCCTTGCCTTTTATTTTTGTAGCTCTTGTCTTTTTGAAATATTCAAGTTTTTTATAAGCAAATGCCATTTCTGCGACATTACAAAATAAACGAGTTTGTAAAATGAATACTTTGTAACAAAACAATGAGAAATATCTAATGAAATTTCCAAAACTGTTCGTACACGCTGCTACATGATATAGTTCGACATCAATGACATTTTTTACGGTATGAATAACTAAATAAGATATCATGAGTTGATATTATGTAATGTGATGTCAGAAGAACTATATTTGCTTATCAAACAATTAAAGTCTAATATCTCAAGAAGAGAGATATGGCAACAGAAATTCCACAGGTACACTGTCTTTTTAAATCCCATGCAGTCTTTGGCTTTGCAATGCGACCGAGAAAATATTGGGTTATATTTGTTTTAACAGGCATTTAAAGATCTTTAATATAGTCGCATCACGATTATACTGTAACAGTGTGAAAAAAACGTTTTCCAATGAAATGGTAATGATGAATTTTAAATACGCGAGGAATATAATATTATGGCAACAATTTGGCTTAGTTCCACAAGTACAATAGTCATGTGACGAAAAGGGGAAATTTTTGCTGCATAAAATGCTCAAAAACAGCAATGTAAAATATAGTGGAGTAGTATAGACTACTCCAGCCGGAACATGTTTGTGCCATTACGCAGTTACGCACAGCGCATGATCAGAGAACTCAAATAAGACTGGAACGCTCACTCTCTGACTTTCCCTCATTAATGAGTGAAGCCAAGATGGCGGATCATGAAGCCTTTCTTGTAGGTATGATCCAGGCATCTGGCGCGGGAATTTCAAAAGGAAAAATTAGAATTGCCGCCATTTTACCTACGAAATTTCCGCGTGGAAGCCTGGATCAAAACCTACAAGAAAGGCTTCAGTGTCCGCCATCTTGGCTCCAAACTTCCGACAGAGTGTTCACGACAATAGGCTTAAAGTAATTGTACATCTACGAGAATCACCGCCTTCTGAAGAACTCTAACTCTGGCAAGCCACTGCAATGCAGTGTGTTTTCTTTTACTGTCACAACACGTCGTTTCACAATATGTATTTTTTAATTTTAGCCACATTTGATTTTTGTATTAAAAATATTCAATATACTACATCAAATCGTTTGTTTAATTTAGGGGAAGGGTATGATTAGTGATAGTGTTGTGGTCATTGTACGGTGCCATTTCTGGTTAAAGTGAATTTTCACCATTCGCTATAAATGGTTTATATACAAAGAGTTTTTAAAAACTTTAATTTGATCTTGAGGACATCGGATATTTCCTCAACGGATATTTTATAGCTGGTCTGCATCTTCTCCCATATCTCCGCTAACAGTTCACTGCTATCTGTCTAAAAAGAATGTTTCCTATTAAATGATCTGGCTTTAATTCGGCTGGTCAAAATCATGTATTCTGAAGATTACTACGATTTAACTAACTTAGCATTGTATAGCAAAACAAAGGCGTAAAGGTTTAATTTTTCCCGGAGCATCTGTAGCTGATTATGATTTCTATTTGAAATCATGAATAGCAACCCTTTAGAAATTGTCAAAAATGTACCTCTGAAAATAAGTGGTTCTATAGGTTTACGCGATTTTCAGTGCGATTTTCATCTTTTGACAGATGTAAACGAGTCAATAGTTACGGATGTTTTGGGTTTAAACGCTTTTATTTTAACATCCGTAACATATCCATTCGATCACATCTATCAAAAGAAAGAAATTGCAATGAAAACCGTTAAAAAATCCCTGTTTTATAAAAACCCACTGGCCTTAAAGTAACTGGACGTCATTAATATTCTTACCATTTTATTTAACTTGTCCAAATCTAATGAGGTCAAATCTTGAGCTAAGTGAAGCACTTGGTCATCAAGTAAATTATCGTTAACACCAGATATCGCTGAAGAAAGCGACTGCGTGAATGCTTGGTAAGATTCAGAAAGTTCTGTCTAAAGATATTGGGTATTTCATGTAATTATACTATCATATCATTAAAATACCCAATATTATGATTTATGAATATTGTTAAGGTCTGTTCGTGCGACCCAAGTTTTATTGAATCTAATTCACTTTTGGTGGATGTTTTGTAGTCCTTTGGACTCGTAAATGTATATATACAACAAATCAATGAGTGTATACGTACTGCTTCATAAAATAACAGATTAGATTCCATATATCAGAAGTAAATTGGATCCGACATGATCGGTTAGTCGCCAATTTACCACAATAGAAATTAGGGATAGCATTACTGGGAAGTGCGCACCCCCCTGTAGCCTAGTCCTGACAGCTGGTGCTTGTACCTCCAACCCATGCCCGGCAACTGGTCTGCGCCCCTGTCCCCCCCCTAAGTAACCGCCCTGGATTCATCCCTGAAAGATGGTGCCACATGTTGACCAATGAACTAAAGTAACTGGAATGATAACAAAATCATCCCCCGCCGAAACCAAAGGCTAGTTAGTAAGTTTGCTCTGGGAATATGCTTCAGGTATAGCATAATTACCTCCGCAGGTGGCAAGACTTTCTTCTTCTTCTTATTTTGTGATATCTGCGTTACTTTTAAAACGACAGTTCGAATGTATGATAGAAACACCAGCACGATGGTAATTGCCTTAAAGGGACGTTTTTAATTAGTCATTATTGAATGATATAAAAAACCTGGATGGCGTAGTTGTGCCGAAACAGTGAACTTCATTTAGACTGCAACGATGTAACTGAGCGATTATTTGGCCACCGTTTAGGACCTATATGAATTTCGGACCGCGAGATTTGGCAAATCATTGACATTGGTAATTTTTTAGTATTTCAAAGCAAAAAAACTAAATACAAGAACTTAATTCTAAATACACGAACTTAAACCAGTAAATCCTAAATACACGAGCTTAATCCTTGGGATTAGGTTAGGATTAAGTCTTATGATGGTTGCTTAAAGTTAACCCTAATCCTAAATCTAACCTTAATCCTAACCTAAACTTGATTAAACTTATCTAGGATTTACTTAACATGAAATTATAATCCCCCCCCTTGAGGGACTGATACATGAACGTGCTTAACCAGTTTCAACAGAAGCAAGCGACATACCTCGACAAACAGTACTAGTAAATGAACAACATTTCCATTAAATATCCGTCTCTCCTTATCTTCATATGTGAGGGAATTTGAGCACAAAGTGGCATTATCTAGTCGGGTAAAAGTTGAAATCAACATTCAGCGGAGAAGTGAGAGGGGTATTAGGAATGGGCGGCGGAAAAAGGGAGAGCTGGGGGGTGGCTGTAGCCCCTCCCCCCAGAGGATATGTTGGTAAGATCCATTCAATCCTCAGCGGTGAAAGAATGTGGTTTTCGACCTTCAACTTTTAACACACGATTATTTCGTTTAGTATTTATTTCGAGCCATTATAGTATGAAAAAGAGATTGTTAATTTTCTTTTAGTTAATACGTGGCATGTTAAGGGCCGATTTCGTCAAGGAGCGAGAAACCCGGTATAGAAAAAACTTGTTTCAAATTGCAAAACCTCCCTCCCGTAGTACGGGATAGTGAAAGTTTCGGGGACGACGGATGATAAGAGGCAGTCCATGCGAAAACAGATATATCCTAAAAATACCTTCGAGAATCGTTGAAATCCTTGTAAGATCCTTTTTTATCGCTGCCACGCGTTCCTCTAATTTATCATCTAAAAATAGGTATTGAATCACTTCCAACATTACGAGGTATTCCCCCGCTTTGGATTGAGGTTTAGTAGCCCCACCGATATTAACGATAAAATCAATTTAAGGGGGAAGGGTGCAAGGAAGCTTCCCCGGGTTTTAAAAACAAGAAAATTCCAGTCCGCTTCTACCTGGACCGTGCGTCTTCTTCATTTGCTGTAGAACTTGTGCAATATTTAGCAGGCCTATCAACACTTCTTCATATGAACCATCTAAATACGCCTTCCAACGCGTTGTTAACGGGCCGTAGAAGGGAAACTGAAAGAAAATAACCAACATTCAGTACCGCGTTACTGTATTATAATCGTCAGTTATTTTGAAAGAGCTTAGCCAAGTTACTTTTAAATTGTCATATAGTGTTGGTTGCTATAATAAATTGTCTGGAAGAAACGGCGAAAATTTCCGCCATCTTGGATTATGCAAATATTAAATGAGGCATTTTCACAGATCGTTCAAATTTTTCGTCGATCGTAGACCCTTGTTTTGCGAATTGGCCTGTTGCGAGTTGGGCAAAAACGAGGTCAGGTTTCTTGCTTTTAAAATTTCAAAATAATTTGAAAATAAGTGATTTTTCTTTGCAATACAACCATAAACATGATTTCATAGGCAATTCAACATGGTTTAGAATTGAGTTTACAGTAGTCCCGAGATTGTACCTTTCTTGCCGCAGGTTCGCAAACACGAGCTTCGGTTAAGATTTCTTGGAGTTGATCTAAAATATTTCTAGTTCGGTCTGAATTATTATCCGTGTGATTAAGCATTTCATTGCAGGGACTGTTTTCGCCGTTCATCATCGCTGACGAGGTAACGCCATTATTCGGCGAGCCATTTGTAACAAGGGTCGCGGCATTGATGATTAATAAACGCAACTTTATCCACAGTAACTAGAAAACAAAGCAGTAAGGAGATGGAGTGAGTTCGTCATAGTAAAAACAAAATGGCGGCATGTCCATCCAGAAAATAATAAGAAATTTTTCTCTGCGATAGATGACGTCGATTTGGGTTTTTTGTGCAAATTTACAGAGCTTTTATCTGTCTAGTTCCTTTATATGTATTCTGTGACCGTGCCTAAATCGATAAATATCTTCGAATTTCATTTTTATTAGTTATTTTGATGGAAGTATGTTTCGTTCTTGTACGCCATACCTCACAACGGAAAGAAATTTTTTTCGCTTCCTTGCGACAAACCCTGAAAAGATGAAACGCAAACATTACCACGAGGCTTTGGTTACGCAGCTTTTCTAAAGCAAAAGAATGCCTTACAACAAAAGACATACCGGATACTAGGAATCTATACTGTAGGGGGGAGGAGTTAGTCAACACAGACACTAGGGGTTAGTAAACACAGACACTAGGGGTTAGTCAACACAGACACTAGGGGTTAGTAAACACAGACACTAGGGGTTAGTCAACACAGACACTAGGGGTTAGTAAACACAGACACTAGGGGTTAGTCAACACAGACACTAGGGGTTAGTCAACACAGACACTAGGGGTTAGTCAACACAGACACTAGGAGTTAGTCAACACAGACACTAGGAGTTAGTCAACACAGACACTAGGGGTTAGTCAACACAGACACTAGGAGTTAGTCAACACAGACACTAGGAGTTAGTCAACACAGACAACTCTTTCACAGTGACAAATTTCAAAGTGATTTCACTCATCACCGATGTAGACCTAAAATGTACCTGTCGCATCGACGCCACGTGACGAAAAGATCTAAATCTCTGTTGTCGCGAAGTTTGTTAATCCATGTCTCTGAAGAAAACAATATCCATGAAGTATTACTTTCAATTTTGTTTACCAAAAATTGAATCGAAAAAATGCATTCGGGGCATGAGAGGTAATAATTCCATGTGCAGTAAATCCCATATGAGACTAGGTTTAGGGTTAGGATTAGGTCTTAGATTAGGTTTATAATTGATTAGGATTAAACCTAATCTTAAATTGTTCGCCAATTTTAACCTAATCTAAAGGATCATCAAATTTGTGTATTCAGAATCTCATGAACATGGAATTATTACGGCATCAAAATGCTACCTTTATATTGACGTTTACATCTCACCTGAATTATCAAAAACCTCGGGCAATTTTTGATCAACAAATATTTCACGTATCGAGGTTGCACTGGAAAAGAATTATATGCAAACTATATATTCATGTATATTTAGGATTAACGACCAATTCTAGCTCAGAAATTATGCAAAACCTTGAAGCATGTTTACCTATTGGCAAGTAAAACAGCATCCAACAATTTTTGCTCTATAAGAACACTTGGGTAAAAAAACGAATTCTCTAATTTCTTTTTGAAGTTCATTATCTCAATAATCTAGAAAACAAGAACGGAGGATTATTCAAAGTCGATTACCTCCGCTGCTTGCCACAAGCTTTTTACCTTCTCAAAAGATCCAAATTTATACGAAGCAATAACGTACTCTGGAGTCTACAGTAACAGAGGAAAGCCACATTAAATTTAAACGTAAATTTGTAAATTTATAAAAAATTGCTCAGAGTAGAAGTTAACTCAGCCTCACAGCGTGACAGATCACGGTAGAGATATTCAAATGATAATAAAATCTTATGATGCGGAATGATTTTTCATTAAAAAAGTGCAATCCCTAATATTTAAACCTTTACACTGACGACATGTTGTTTTCGACAATATCGCGCATGCGCAGACAAATTGAACCTATTTTAGTTGGAAGAGCATCGAACTGGGTTGAATCCTATCGTAGTCAAGCTAATTCTCCAGCTTGCCTGGTCGACAGAGGATGGCTCCATTAGAGTGTACCTGTGCACACTAAAAATCATCACATGGCAGTGACCTCTAATGAATAACTGGAACGATATCTCCTGATTGTTTTTACCTCCAGACACGCGAATTTTGGCTTCAAAAAACAACGAGGATGTATCGTTTCAGTTCACTGTCACATGGCGACAATACTTACGTCTTTCTTGTTGCCTTGATAGAATTTAAAAGTTGAATTATAAAATTCTTTTGCCGATTTAAAATGACCCAATGGCGCTTCGTATCTGGACACATTGAGCCTATAGGAGGAAGCGATGAACAATTAACTGTATTAATATTCTTGAAAGTTTGCATGGTGACATCAAATAAGTAAATTAGCTTGCAGGTACACCACGTAAGTATTTCACACTGCAAAGCTTTCGGTCCGTTAACCCGGGCCTCCATCAGTGCAATTACTTGAAAACACATTTACATGTCGAGATGAGAGGAGGAAATTTTGAACGCCCGGGTTAACGGACCGAAAGCTTTGCAGTATTAAATATGTACTTAGGTGGCGTACCTACAAGCTAAATTACTAAATTAATGGTATATTATACAGTACGCACGCCTTACGGGAGCCCAAGACTTCATTTCCTAGTAGTTGCTGCGAGTATTATTATTTAAAATTATTTGAAAACGGTAGCCCTTCAGTAGCAAATAGAAAAGTGATTTTAAACGGGCCGTTATTCTATACGTGCATTAATTAATTATAAACACAAAACTTATCATAATTACTAAACTAAAAGGTATTTACCTATTTACAACAATTTTAAAAGAATTTCTTCAAATTGTCGATGCACATTACCTCGTATATATCCTAATACAGGCCCGTTTACACTTGCAATTTTGGGTGCAATTTCATTTGCAAATTTTCTCTTTTTGATAGATGTGAACGAGTAATTAGTTACGAATGTTCAAATAGGAGCTCGGATACATCAGAGTATTCGCAGCTAATTACTTGTTCACATCTATCAAAAGAAGAAAGTCGCACATGAAATCGCAGCAGCAGTATAAAAGGGTCTTAATAGTGATGATTTATTTGAGTTTTGGAAGGAAAGTTGATCATATTTATCGACAATTTTAACAGGAAGGTTATACTAGATCCGCGATATGAGAAACTGCTTTCGATTAGATTTAAAAGCTTCGTTTCCATACGATGGTGTAACTAGTGGATTTTTGCAGAATGAGTCAGGTTCAATGGTACCCCTACTACACTTACCCTAAGGTATCATAAAGTATATGCTTAACGTCCATGCTATTCAGATAAGTTACGCACGGACCCACAGCCCCTAGGAGAAGAGTTTGTAAATAATTAGTTACTAATATCAAATACCAAACTGAATTTTCGTTTTGGAAGGCACCACAATGTAAATAGACCTTTCCCGTTCTAGCTTTCGAGCGCACAATGCGTGAAAGGTATATTAACATTTCAAAATCTCCAATCTGATTTTTACGTTATTTTTCAGCTCCAAAACCTATGTCGAAGTTTGTGTCAAGTATTCTAAGAGCTTGTTTTCAAAAATTTCAAAATTTGTTGCCAAATTGAGTCCTAGTTTACTTTCAATCTCGTTGACACTCAAGACTTACCAAGTTGACAGTACAATCGCGACACGAGTAATTTAAACTGAAAGTTTGATGGACTGTTCCTTATTGCACTTTCAAGCGTAATCACGACACGAAGCCAGCAGTTTGAATGATCATCTGTAAGTACAGTAGTAATGCATGCGTCAGGGTTTAAGTTGGAAGATCGAGGGGAAATCAAACTTGGCGCCTTTATACACACCTAATACGGTAAAAACGGCTAGACCGGTCCTGTTGAATTTCAGTACAGACAGATTACTGGTATTTTAAGGTGTTTCAAGAACTCTGCATTCACGTACTGTACATTATATTGTTATTTACATCTGCCCAGCACGGAAAATGCAAGCTTTAGCGCAATATTCTGAACGAAGTACTATTATTGCAATTCAAAATATGACCGCGGTTTGACCATTTTGGCCGTTTAAAAAAAAGCGCGTTTTGCGAGAACCATCTATTGGAAAATATAAAAAATTTTTGACATGGCATAGTATGGAGCTAAGATCAAGTACAACCGATATCACTCACCCGGGATATTGCAACAATCCAACAAATGATGTGCTGCTAACAACGCCAGCTCGTCGCAGGGATGAAAATCGGTCGGGAGTAGATTTTCGCCTGGAACAAAATTTTTCGTAACATTTTCAAATCAGATCAACATTTAAGTCCCCTTGAAATAAAATTTCGCCTAAAATTTGGCAATAACTAAATATTGTTGTTATTGCAGTAGGTTGCTTCGAGTTCTCTTTACATTTCATAAACTATGAACATCTGTTGTGAAAGTTCACGTCATAAGCAATTTCGACCATAGATACTATCATCACTAAACCCAGAAGTATGTGTATCCAGTTTCATATATTGGGTCAGTGCTTGCAAGCGTGTGTCACTGACTGCAATATCTGAAACTGGATCCTTTTTGACTACCTAGTCACAAAGTTACTTTCTGAAAACGTTTGTGAAAACACATCATTCTGTGTTCAAAATTCTCACCAAATTTTTCACCGTCTTTGTGCATGGACATAAGGTGTCTCGCGTGAGCAATTTTTTCCTCGGTTGATAAGTTTTCTCTTTCACCAAGATACCTTGAGAATTTCTCAATCGTTATTGTTCTTGACAATGCCTTCACCTGATAAAATGATGACACATGTTTATTAAATAATTTAAACACATGTTAATTATTAATTAATTTAAAGGTAAAATGGTGCACACTTCAGTCTAATTTCTTATCCCCTCGGGAGAATATATTTCCTGGGGTATAAATTTCATATAATTCGCACAACACATGGCAAACCTCGCTATTTTTGCCAAATTACTATCTTCAACTCATATTATACTATGATTTTGTCAAAGAATAGGAAATGGTAAATGGCAAGAAAACTTACATCTTCACTAATATTGCCACAAGATGACGATAACGACGCTCTACAGGACTCCAAAAACTGGAAAAAATGAATGGAAAACTGTAAGGAGATACGAAATATTTGTTACGGTAAGTTCGCTGTAACTTTTATAGCTCCTCCCTCACGAAATATAAAGATTTAGAAAACAAATCAAACCTCGACTTTTTGAGTAGAATCCAACAGATCTATATACACGCACAGGTCTGAAAAACAAACACTTTTGTCTCCGAAAAACTGGAAATATTCAACAATCAGCTCCTTTAAATCCCCAGGAGGTTCTAAAAACACGAAAAATATATCCTCATGAGATACATTTTTACACCATGACAGCTGTTATACCCCATTCGATGCGAACGCACATTATTTGCATTGAACTAAATTACCTGCGGATGATTTGAGAATATTTTCCTCATTTTGCCTTTTTCGTAGTTCTAAACAAGCCAAAAATGGCCCCCGGTTTCTTTTCGTTTCCTTTTCAAGTTCTTTATTCTTCATTTTTTCAAGAAACTCCCGGACCATCGATACGGAGTGGTCTGGAACATCACTACATCGATTATAAAATATTGAGAAGTTTAGGAAACCACAACGGCAGGGCCGCTGCACGCACGGGATCTGGGAATGACACCCAAGAATGGCTTCAAATTCCGCCATGTTTGGCTTCACTTTTGAGGCATACTGGGCACGGGTTGCGTTTTTTGCTACGCTCATAGCTCTGTCTTAAATATAAACAAGACGCCAAGTTGGCGAATCAATACACTGCACTGAGCTATATTAACACACTGGACACATTGTAGCCAAATATGCGAATGTCCGCGACGATGACTGAAGGCCTATTTCGACTACACGATAAGTTGTACGCAATTATCAATCTGACGAATGCAAAAGAGTGCCTATGCGACAATCTTCATTCAATTTTTTTTCAGGGTGTAATTTAAAGTGTCACGTTTGTACGCGTGTTCATACGTTCACATACGCCAGGGTACGAATCGTATAGGACAAATCGCATAGTGTAAATGGGCCTTAAAGCTGCGACACAAAATATAAAAATAATAATAAACCCGAAACCTAGACCTGGATACCACAAAAGACCGAGTAATAATTTAATCCCTTTTCCTATAAGAAGCTCCGATGAGCTATATTGCCGTGAATCAGTGAATTGTGCATACCAACTTACCACGAATTATTACCGTCAGTGTCCGAGTAGTTTGTTTCAACTAACTTGATCATTGATTCTAAATATCCTTGATAGCTGGACCATTCATCTGGACTAAAACAAATTTGATTCGTTATAAAACCCAAATTTCTAAAAACGGATTTTCATAGGATGAACTCATGTAAATCGGTCATTTTAATAAATTGAAGAATTGATTGGTTTGAAATAAGTAATATAGTAATAAGTACATAGTAATAATAACCTCGTGTGTCGTGTCATGTAACCATAAGTTATATCAAATGAATACATTAGTTTCTTTTATTTATTTCTTTTATAGTTACGAAGGCCCTCAGGTCAAAACGTTGAGAAATGTTTTGTCTATTTTAGGGAGTTGTTATACCACATTTGATGCTAAGTTTCAGTTTATTCACTATTTTCACTAAATCCCATGATGCTGTGCGCGCGCATTCCTTGGGGTACTAAATCCCGCCAAAATCAAAACAAACAAATTTTAGTATCCCAAGAAATGCGCGCGCACAGCATAATGGAATTTAGTAAAAATAGTGAATAAATTGAGATAAAATTTTTGAAAACCAACCAATACGTACTTTTCCTCAATTAAATTCTTATACAAGAGATTAACCTCTCGCCATCGTTCAAGTTTCAATAAATAATCTACTTTTTTCTTTGCTTTCACATTTGGAAATAAAAATTCACCTAAAATATACAAACACAGCATTATTTCGATAAATGCGGGTTCAGCACTTTTCTATGCGCGGGTAAAACACCTCACCCCTTTAAAACCCCTGGAAAATATAAATAATAAACTGTAGTATTCTTACCTAATGGACCATTTATAACTTCGAGAGCACCCTCGTATTTCTCTTGCATTTCCAGGACGAGAAGGTAAACATACACCTCTTCGTGGCTTTCCACCTTTTTGTCTTTGATAAATTTTAGGATCATTTTTTCGGCCAGTGGCAGCAACATGTTTTTCTTGACGTGTTCATCTTCGCAGACGCTTGCCTGGGTAAAGAAAGAACTGCCTTTATCAGACCTTTTCTCTTTTATCTTTGAAGTCGCTAAATTTGAATCGCGATAACGCTGTGTCCAGAAGCGATTTTAACTAAAAAGGTAACTTTGCCGATTTTTTCGGTACCCGCATTGACCGGGCTGCTTATGATTTTTTGGGTCGGAACAGAGCGCCATCGCATTGACACATTGACTTTGATAATTAACATCAACACATTGACTTTGATAATCAACTACCATCAGGCATTGCGCGCTTGACAGGTTTTGTTCTATTCGTGACAAAAAATGGCCATCGCGGCTTTATATAATCGACACACAACGAAAGATAAATTATAAATGGCAACCATCACGACCTAAAGCCAATACCTTTTGACCTGGTGTATATGACCGCCAAAGATACAGTTGAAATCTCACAATGAAACCATCAAACCATTTTACTGCGGGTTTCCGGCAAAATTTTCCCGCCGAATTTCTTGAAATTAATGCATGTGATAGCTAAGTGTACGGGAGACCTACAAACCTGCATGATACAGCTCATGACCGCCCAAAAGTAATATGGATTTTTCTGAAACTTTTTATATAAATTCATTGCCACCTACAATGAGAACATGTAATACTGTAATTAATGGACCATGCCCCTATTAAACTACATAAATGTATATACAGTAATAGTGCTGTATATGGTACTGTAAATATACCTGTTGCTGTTTCTTGTATTGTGACGTTCTCACGTAAGACATGAAAAGATGAGTTGATAATTCTTCATTTTGGGGACTTTTTTTCACAGCCACTTCGTAAATATCGGATATTTCGGAATCTAAAAGGTTTTGAAGGAATTTCAGACATGACATGTTTTACCCAAATTTCATTTTTTACAGCTTTAAGATCGTATATACTCGGCTTGTTTTGTTACCATTCACTTTACAGGAATTGTAACTTTAACTAATGGACCACTGTCATAACAATAATTTTTGTTTTGGTGCCAGACCAACAAATAGACACAAACATGCCAGTAAGGAGGATGTCAAGCAATTTGTATGAAAATGAATTGATTAACTTCTGGTCTATTGCATGTACAGACAGATGAATTCAGGACAGTAAGAGTGAAAAACTTGTCTTGCAACTAAACTGGCTTGCAGGCTTTATTAACAGAGATGACTTATAGGACTGGATTGTTAACTTCCTTTGTCATCTCAGAACATAAATTTCCTATCGAAAGCATTCAAGGAAAAGCATCGACATATAATTATGAGGGACTAAACCAAGAATGTTGTGAACATAGCTTTGATTCCCTTTGTAGGCCATCAGCTGCATTTCTCACAATGTTCCTGGTTTGGTATTATTATATAATGATTGATGTTTATGCCTTTGTTAATCTTAAACACATTTGGAGTTTAATTTATGTTCATGGTAACCGAGCGACTGTTGGGGGTTGAACAATAAACTTTGATGAGGTTCAACATTATGAAAATGACTGCAGAAACTAATTTCTAACTAGTCCAATATAGTCATAACATACGTCTTTCCATTTCTTTAAAGCAAATAGTCATTGCTTGCAAGGTTGAATCATCCGCTATTTCTTTTTTTTTCACCTCCTCCATCAGCTTCTCACATTCCTCCCGTCTCCCAGACCTGAGTAAAGCAATTGATTTCAGGACCTAAAAAGAATAGTTATGAATACATGAATATTATTCAAATGGCAAACTGAGAAGATGTGGGATTCATTAAGGAGGATCTGGAAAAGCTACACTAACACTGTGCTTTCAGGTCAACTGGAGTAAGCATAAGTTCAAAGAAGCCCACATGTTAGTAATACTGTAACTACTGTAATTGGATCTGTACAATTCCGCAAGCCCGTCAGCCCGATGCATAGTAACTTTAATTGCAAACAAAAGGGAGGTAACTGTATATCGCATATATGTGCTCTGTTGTAATTTTGCATGGTGACATAAAATAAGTACCATAAGTATAATACTGCAAAGCTTTCCGTCAATGAACTGGAGTTCTGAGCCTTCATTTTATTGCACTAATGAAAGCCTGGGTTAATGGACCAAAAGCTTTGCAGTATTAAATACTTACGTGGTGTACCTACAACCACAAGCTAATTTATAACAATCCAAAATAATGTTAACAAAACAGCAAGAAACTGCATGGCTTGAGCACAACTAGACCATGCACATATTTCCCTAGCAAAGAATATGCATATAAGGATAGCAAGTTCTATTATAGACAATATTAACAATGGCAGTTTCAAGGCTCATTCTTATGATATGGTTAATTGTATATTGATTGCCATTTTGAGGAATGAAAATGAATGTCACATGTAATAATGCCATATTTTTGTTTATACACAGGACGGCAAAGTTTGAAATGTGCTGTATTTGCATGCATACTTAATTAAGGTACAGTATGAATTGCATAAAATTATTATAAGGCCTTTATTTTAACTTAAGTATACTTTGCAAATGATATACTTTTATGGGCGAGAGCAAATTTGGAAAATGATGATTAAGACAAAGCTTCTTGAAGAAAGGGCAAATCAAGACTTGCACAACAAAGAAATTGTCCCAAATTATGCATGTCTGCATCATTTTTCAAAATCAACCAGACATTAATAGACCCCAAAAAGCATGTAAATCTCACAGTGGCTAATCTAATTTTGGAGCAGTCAAAACCTTTATATTGTCATGGTTCAAGAGGGTGTGGATTGGAGAAATCAGGGCTAGTCCCCTGATTTGGGTTTCAAGTTTCAATAAGATTATGATTGCACAAAAAATGTCGCATCTAAGAGCCTTTACAGATTTAAGTAACAAGCGTGCAGAGACGTATTTCCTGTACAAATAAACACAACGCAACACAGAGTTTATAATAGCGAGCAAATTCAGCAATATTTACCTTAGCACAGTGCAGGTCTTTCTGTTTCTTAAGGATTTTATCAGCATGCTGAATAGCTTTTTTATTGTTCATGCTATCCAGTGCATCTAAATTACGAAAGGAACATACGAAAAATGAATATATGAAAAACACTAATACGTAAATGGTTAACTCCATAATCCTAACCATAAACTGGTCGCAATCTTCGTTCATTTACGTCCACATGCCTGGAAGCCATCTTGCTTCACTTGACCACTTATCTAAAATATCATCGCTCAGGTTCTGATACAGCCTGCAGGCGCACACATATACCATTTCATCTTTGCGTTCACAATTCACAAATATAACGAGTTCACTAAATATTACATTCTCCAACCCAAATTTCAAAGGCGACGGAATGTAGGCAAATGACGGAATGTAGAAATAGCAAAGTAGGATTTCAGTTACCATTTTCTAGTCTCGATAATTCTGTGTTCCTCAGAAGGAACAATTTGTACCATTATTTCTCAGACTTATGATATAACGGAGACAAAAGATCTTCTTTTTCGAAGTCTATCAAGATTAATGTTGAATTTAAATAGGAAACTTCTTATCGCAAAAAAAAACAGTTACGAAAGTGCAAAGAAGTAACGCCAATTGTCCAAAGCTACGTTTAAGCGATGGGATTTCATGGTCTACCGACATGGAATTGCATACAGTTTTCATAGCTCAATGAGATCAATATTTTTGCAATTCAAAAACACTTCAATTGTATAAATAAACTGTTGGTTCTTACAAATTTTGTCTCCTAAGTTTATGAAATGACTCAGAATACAGAACAAGAAGAGGAACTCGAAGTTTTGCGTGCCATATACGAGGAAGATGAACTTTTTAATGAACTGAATGAGACCACTTTTCAATACAGATTTGGAGAGTCGGGTGAAAGCAAGTCCTTCCTGCTAGAAGTTCAATGGACAGATACATATCCAGAATGCTTACCATCTATTAATTTGAATGCTTTTTACAATAAACACCTTTCAAATGAGTTAAAAGACATAATTGTTGAAAAAATTACAAACGAAATTGTGGATAGTGTTGGGGCGGCAATGACGTTTACAATATTTAGTTGGGTTGGAGAAAATTTCGAGTCGTTAATAGAAGAGCATATGGACCTCGTCAATACGGAGGTGGGTTTTTTGTAAATTCAATCGTTTATGGTATATTCTATATATAGGGTTACGTTATGGTAATTATATAAACCTAAAATAACTTTATCAGATGTAATTTTTCCATAAAATGGGAGAGTAAATGGTAGAGATAATAAGATTTTAATTGGATTTTAATTGAGTAACAAATTTCAGTGTTAAATTTTGAAGTTTTGTCAGTAACTGGTCATTTGCAATGCAAGGGCCAGTTGTATAACAAGCAGCTAATTAACATTAAACTATAGTTATGGACAGAATGGGCCAATCAGAGTTACTGTTACTAGGATTTAACAATGAAGAAATGCAGTTAAAGAGTTTTATACAACCAGTTTAAGAATGTTACCATTGGATGAAACTTTGGGATTTAATAATAACTGTTTATTAAAAGGTTAAAAAGACTGTCTTGGTAAATTTTCCCAGGACTTCTTCATATATCGAGTGCTATATTTTTTAGAAGGAAGATGCTCTTCTGACATTGGCACATCCTGAAGAAGTTATAGATAAACCAGTCAAGGAAAAGAAAGTTCAATTAACAAAGCAACAAAAAAGAAAATTGGCGGACAGAACAAATCATAAAGGGGAACGAGAAAGAGGCTGGAATTGGGTTGACATTGTCAAACATCTCAGCAAGACAGGTGGAAATTAGATGGATGTGGGAAAGGAAGTCATTCCAAATCCCTGGTTGGCATGATTTTTTGGTGGTTGCAGGCAAAATAGTAACCAATTTCTATCCAGAGGTCTACCAGAGTTTAGCTAGCTTTCCCAATAGCAATAAAGAATTGCAGTAAACACATTTAGCATGTCATCAAAACCACATCATGGGTGATCAATGAGGATGACTGCCATTAGCTTCAACTACACAATCTATTACTGTACTCTTAGGGCTGCTTTCCACTGTTGTTGTTTTTGCCTGCATGTACACACACATAAAAGCTTAAAACCTTCTAACATGTTAACTATATAATTAATCTTTCACTTCACAACAAAATCCAACCCTATTCATCTATTCAATTGTTAATATATACATACTTACAAAAAAGGTGACAGTGGAAAACAGCCCTTAGTTGAATGTTGCCCTAACTTGGATATAAATTTTGCTCTTGAACTAAATCCTCCCTTTGACGGGTAGTGCAATCTCAAAAATAGCTGTGTAAGAAAATTACAGCAAAAAATTATTCAATGCTTTAAACAAGAAATGTAAATTATTAAACAGATTACATGAACTGAAACTAAATATAAATTGTTCTATTGCATGCAACATTGCTCTTGAGTACCCCAGACTACCCTTCAGAAAACATTGCTGCAGAAATATTGTTTGCTACCCATGTTTGCCAAGGTTGAAAGAGCAGAGGACACAATTTTGTGTTTGCAAAAAACTGAAAAAAGAAGTACCATAGGCAGCCCAAATATACGTGATAATTTGAGCGCGAGAAACTTTTCGGCAATTTGTCAACATTGTCGTACACCGTATTCGGGATGCCTATGGAAGTATTTGGCAATTTCCTGACACACAGTCACAAATGTGACATGGGTACTCATTGTGTAGGAGTTATGAAATCAGTATTGTAGAGAAATTGGAAGCAAACAATGTTTTGCACACAAAATAGAAGTTAGGGGTTCCCCTCTCTGTCCACTATATTTTTTTTTAATCTTTAGTATTTTTCTGAAAATAAACACAACTTAAACCCAACACCTTGCCTTAAAGTGAGCTCTCGCAAGTGACGTCATAATTCGCAAATTTCGGTTTATTATTACTACCAGTTGACAAACATGCCTTAAATTGTAGTACTGCTGTTTACACTTTTGCCTGCGATTTCAAAAGCATTTAAGGCTCCAAAAAGTTGTAGAAATCAGCGGACTACTTTTCTGATACGTCAATACGTCATCGGTCACTCAGTGCAAGAGCCCAATATTAACCGTTTTCTATTGTGAAATGCAAATATTTTTCACAAATCTCTCCTATACGTATAAAAGTTTTCTAACTATAAACTTCAAAAAACACAAAATGAAACATAAAACTAGACGGCAGCTGAAATGCTGAATATCGTTTACTTCGCCTGTATTGGGCCATAGTGACCAACAACATCGATCTTGACGTCGCCATTGTTGACATACAGTTCTTGAACCGGACTGTCAGGAAGGAGTGCGATCCTCACACGTTTACGCTCTGCGGCTAGTTGTGGGTTGCGTGCCAAGGTGAGTGCAATGAACCACTTGGCGCGGGGGGAGAACGAGTCCACTTCGGGTCATTTCGGTTGTTCCCTAAATTATACAAAACATTTTCAATATCGGAAACAAGGGCCGGTGAACTCTAATACAACTTTAACGATAACTGTGGTCTTCTGTAGAGTCTGTCTACAATCCTTGCTTGAAGCTAAAATGGTTTTTGAAGTTCGAATAATTTACTTCCAGGCTCTGTGATGTTACGTACTCATTTCAATATTAGTCGTCTCACACTTTCGGATCATGGATCAAACAGCCCCTTACTACACTTTAGTCTTTAAGAAGACTTACGTGTCTCGTGATCATCGATCAGTATTTGACAAAACACTCGAAGAACTGGGTTTCTAAAAGCTGCTTGGACGTGAAGATAACAGACGTACGCATTGTAACCTTTTAAAAGAATTAAAGACAATAAGGTTGAATTGAAAAAGGATGGTAAAAGAATGTATATTAGCTAAAAGAATGTTATGTATGTATAACTTATGTAAACATTAAGCTCTGTTCACACGATCCAATTTTGTTGGATCCAATTCACTTCTGTATGAAATATGGTCGGTTATTGATAAAGTAGAACTACATTGGCTTCAGTGGATTTGCTAGTCATATACATTACAAAACAACAGACTATAGAACATACATCAGAGATGAATTGGATCCAACAAAATTGGATCGTGTGAACAGACCTTTATAATACCTCCAAAGATGATAAAGTCAATGAGTTGAAGTCAATGTGTAATGTGCTGTCTGTTGTGTGTTACCTGGATCGAGCCATTGGAATCCATCAGGCAAAATGCTATGATCAATTCTTGGCAACATCAGAAGTCCCACAGCCATTATTTTCAAGATACGAAAAATGGCGGAAAAGACACCCATCGGAAGACCAACAAAAAACCAGAAATACGAAAACACCAAATAGACATTCCTGTGGTGAGGATAAAAATCTATACTATACTACTTGCAACTAAGTCTATTGCCGGATCCTTGCAATTAACTGATGCATCGCTCTGCTTGGCGCCTTGTTATACGGTGAAATTTTTCTTGTGGCTTACTGATTGCAATGTTACTTTTAAGAGCAGGAAATTAGCAAAGAGTCTTTAAAATGTACATTTAAGAAATGTCCATGAAGCGGTAATAAACACAAAAGTTTTGTAAATTGTATTACAAGTTGGAATATATGCATAGACTCTTTTAGAAAAAAGCCAGTGAAATCGCCTGATTTGATCACTAGATCTCAGGTCGTTGTATTCTGCGGTGTCGGACCGTGCGAAGTTGGCAATATTGTATTTACACGCTTCTGGCCATAGTAAAAAAGTATCACAAAATTGGATACTTTCGTAATACTTGACATTTTGCACTTGGGGACTATACTAAGTTCCGCATGCTCTTTTTAGCTGTTGTGATTTAATTCCTTCTTGTCGCCTAGATAATAAGTTGGTCTCTTATGCAAAAGGTCTAACGGAAGGTGCATGATCTACGCGTACCTGTTGTTGATAGAAATGACGTCCCTGGAGTAGTTACGATCACGGAATATCGTCACAGAAGCTACGAGCAAACAGCATCGGAAGAAAAAGGCCACACCCAAGAATACGCTAGATCAAATGCCGAACTTTTTAAATTACGATGTGTATCATGTGTTTCCTGAATGTCTAACACTATTTAGGTTCGCTACGGTTCTAAGGGCCTGTTTATATGATCCCGTTTAGCCGGGACGGGATGTTTTCATCCCGCTTAGCCGGGAAACTCGCCTAGGCGGGATGGCGTGTTTATATGGAGTTCATTTTGTAGTGCAGGTTCCTTCGACGGCATGTTTTATTGTAGAAAACGAATATGCCAATATATACACATGCTCCTAATGTATGTTAATCGCGAATCATCCCGGCCAAGCGGGATGGAGTGTTTATATGGCAATTTCTCGTCCCGTCTAAGCGGGATCCCGGCAAGAAGTGCCGGGATCCCGCCTAGGCGGGATGGAAAAGTGGTCATGTAAACACTAATTAGTGTTTGTATTACAAGCGGGATCTCGGAAACTGTCCCGTCCCGGCTAGGCGGGATCATATAAACAGGCCCTAAATGAATATGTGCGAGTAATGTTTTAGTTCAACGCGACACACAAATTAATATTTTTAGTTTTTTACCATTGTTATGAACGGTAGTTCTAAAATTTATTCTGCACCATAAAGTAATTGTCCTGCTTTTGACGCAGAGCCTAGCTAGTTTATCCTGATAATTCCTGATAATTATACTAGGGTTAAGCGTGGTTAATTAAACAATATCAAATTCAATGATTTTCATGCATACTTCCACATGCATGCATGTATAGAGCATGCTGCTTGCACCAAAAAATAGCGGTACAGAAAGGGAATATTCACAAGATGATCTGAAAAGACACAATCCATGCACTTACCCGCTGGTAGTAATAAAGGCATGGATAAGATGCCAAAAAGTACCAAATTTTAACATATGCAGCAGAAGACAAAGAATAGATATCACAATCCAGTTAAATACGAAGCCTGTAATGAAAGATTGTGACTGATATGATACAGTGCGATATGGCCAGTAGAACAAAATGATTAGACACAAAAGGTTGGACACAAAATAGCTCAGCAACAGCTATCACAAGTTGCCTGATGATCATTTATGAGAAGACAAAGTGTGTAATGGTTGAGCAAACTCAATTATGAAAACATAATCTACGACTATTGGCACTTCACTTGATGTAGGTAAATTCTAGAGGTTGAAAGGGTCTTAAATTCGAATGGTATTATACACACTTCAAATTCAAGCCAGGAACAGTTGATGGAAAATCAGTCAACTATCGGTCCTCCGGCAGGAATCGAACCTAATGCTCTTGCCACTGAGATAATGCACGGTATAATTCATTTCACCGTGGTCAAAAAAATCCAATAAATATGTTCCAAACATAAATATGATCTAGTTATGGTTTATAGTCCAAGCAAGAACTCACCCCACAGAAAGTATCCAATCTGAAAACTATGGTAACGAAGTCCTATTGCCTGTAAAACGAGTGTATGTGCATGTGTGTTAGTTGGTAGTGAAACAGACTAGTGTTGTCATTTCCCACTTCACACGATATCTTACAAACAAGTACTTTTATATATACATAGGAAAGTTAGACAGAAATATGGTAAAAGATATTCTTAAACTTACAATCATAAACTGTGACACGTTTATATTCCTAGGAATAAACGATTTATCCCCTTTGAACATCTTTACCATGTTATTCCTAGAATGAATTAACGGAAAACAAACTTTAAAACAAATCCAATACTACAATACAATACATATAGTTCTACTAAAGTATTGTTATAAGTCTTAAGCCTTGAATACGCTGTAAAAACAGTAACAATTCAAAATGGTTTATCTCATTTATCAGACCAATTTTTTATTGGTTAAAAAACTAAAACTTGGTTAAAACTTTGAGTTATCAACTGCCCGTATATTACCATACTCTATAGCTATACATACTTATGATTTTCCATGAAACGAACAAGGGAGAGCGCACAGACCGCAGTTGTCAGGATTACACCAGCTAAAAGTGATCCTAAATTGAAAAATAATTCAAATAAAACATAAATATAAGAAACCGACGGATTCAGAGGCAAAATCAAATTATAGTAAAGCCTTGATTTCCTTCAATTGCTTGCAACACATCAAATTTTCATATTGACAAATGCACTTCTTTTCCTTGTCATTAAATATCAAAGGAAGAGTTGCAGAAGTGTCGCTAGACTTGGGAAAGTGGAGGATAGGGTAACTTAAGATTCCGCAAAACGTAAATTCAGTGTTAAACATTTAGTTAATGGCAAAGGACATTCTTACTTTCAGCATCATTAAGATCTAAAATAGAATTATGACGTGGAATGACTTTTTAAAAATAGGTGGATAACAGAAATCATGGCCTTAATATGTCCCAACATCACCTTATTCTTAAAACTTGGCATTGTGAATTTTTCACTCTTTAAATCGTAAATTTGTAGAAACAGCACGTGTATTATTATAATCATGCAGAGCCTTAATTTGGCCTTCATCATGTAGTGCAATTAATTTTAATCAATTGACTGCATGGCTTTTTAACCATATATAATAGTTTAACAAAACTAACCTAAATATCCATCCATCAACTGTCCAGCTGGATTATTCAGTATTTCACATAAGAAATACACAAGAAAGATGGCGATCTTGAAGAAAAATAACAACAAAATGGTTACTACTTTAGATTTACGCTAGATAAATCGAATTTCCTTGAATCTCAGGAAATAGTCTTTTGAATAGAATAAGATTCAAATACCAATCGCACAACCGATTGAACTCCTAATACGTTTAATTAATTAATAAACGGTTTGCGATCTGTCGCATATATAACAAAAAATTTTATTTCAGACAATAAAGAACTCACGCTATAGAGACTTATGCCACAGATCATCATCACAGAAAGAGTTTCAGTTGAAAACTTAAAATCTAAAATTGTTGAACGAAAAATCGTCAGAGTAAATGGACCACGCCAAACGACTCAAGAAATACAAGAATATACGAATTTCAATACAGACAGCGAAAGATCGTTAAGTGGGGGCTAATGTTCATATATTAAAGCCTCTTACAGACGAGCAAGTTTTCTATGAGAAGTTTTTATGTGACAAGTTTTAATTGTTCGTCTGTACGCCCAAATTGACAATTTTTTGTCAAAGGAAAAATTGTCAAAGTACAAATTTTGGTCGTCTGTATGAGTCAACAAAGAAAACTTGTCACATAATGTGGGCACTTGAATGCGGTTGGTTGGCCAGCGGACTATAGTATTTTGCAATGGCGCGCTCAAATTGTCCGCTGTACGATTACATCGCTGGCGATGCACACTAAATTGTCAAAGTAAACTTCTTGTCACGTTCACACGAGCAAATAAAACTTGTCAAAGAAAAACTTATCATAGAGATTTTGTTGTACATACACACTGCAATTGCCAATTAAAACTTTTCATATAAAAAATTGTCATAGAAAAAGGAAGAGGCTTTTACGAATTACGACCTTTTCGCCGTCTGTATTCTCGCGCCTACAGGTTATCTGAAATGGCGGGGAAGGACTCATGTCGGTTGAAACAGCCTAATATGTCTTGAAATATACTTTCTTTTATTTTATTTTACTTTCAGATTAATTTTAAAACTATAGCTGTTATAAATAAACACAATCACAAAATTTCAACGAGATTCATAGAATAAAAAAGATATAATCCATTAAATACTACAGAATGGATCTCTACTTTGTCAACCCTTCTGAGCACTGATTGTCTAAAACACGAACGCTTTAAGCCCGTTTTCCACTAGGCAAATTTATTCGAATGTGCACGACGCGAAGCGATAGCTATCTGAGATCCAGTGATGTGATTGGTTTGCGAAAAAAATTGTCGCGAAAAAGTAGAATCGCTTCCTACTTTTTAGCTGTTCGCACGAACAAGTTCGCCTGGTGGAAAACGGGCTTAAGGATATGCCACACATTTATCAAATGTCCCTGAACCAATGCCTCAACCACATATATATTCATCAAACTCACCTTTTTGGGGATTGTAAAATTTTCTCAGGTAAAACTCAACTCTTCCATATTCCCGAGGTCTACAAAACGAGGCACAGTACTTACTTCGATTACAATTGCAATACACCTTTTCGATAATTACGTTTATGGGCCTGGAAACCTCGCCCGCCCAAATGTACAACGCTTTCCATTTTGAACACCAAAATGCATTTTCTACGATTGCATGCCGCAAAAGGGGTGAGATACAAATGCAGTCTTAAGTCGTGTGAAAATATACCCTGTCATTATACCAGCACAAAATAAATATAATCAGAATTATAACCATAGACAGCGCAATAGCGAATGGTTTCTTTGAAAGAGAATCGACTAAAAACTTTAAAAATTAAAACAAAACCATCGTTGAAATTGACACAGTTTTTTGATGAAATTGACACAGTTTTTTGATGAAATTGACACAGTTTTTTGATGAAATTGACACAGTTTTTTGATGAAATTGACACAGTTTTTTGATGAAATTGACACAGTTTTTGATGAAATTGACGCAGTTTTTTGATGAAATTGACACAGTTTTTTGATGAAATTGACACAGTTTTTTGATGAAATTGACACAGTTTTTTGATGAAATTGACACAGTAATCTATTTACTTGCCAATATACAAACAGTGGCGTAGCCAGCCTGACGATTTTGTCCCGCTATGTAAATTTCGAGTTATTATAATTATTCATTTCTTTAGAAATTTATTGTTTTTACAGTCAATGAACACCAAAATATTAGCATAGCGGGACAAATCGTCAGGCTGGCTACGCTACTGTATACAAAACTGAGTATTGCTGCCTAAAACGGGCGATGTGCGTCTCTTACAATGTGCAGGCAAAGTCGGTATAACATATTGTATTATACTGCACACTCGATTTTCTAACGTATTTTTTAGGTACGCGATCATACTTTGGTTTAAAAATGTTCTTCACGTGTTCCATCAACCAGGGTCTGACCAACTTCACCTGAGGGGAAGTTCTTTTATTCTAAATGAACATGAATTCAAAGTATTTTTTGAGTGAAATTCGTTCCGTATTCGTAGTTTACTATAATAAGCTTCATTTAATAAAACGTTAAAGTTAAATAAAGATCGCGTGGCAACGTCCAGTGCAAATCATGCGAAAAACAATTACAAAAAATGTTCTACAATTCATTTTAAAAACGAACATTACGTCATGACGTTTATTATTTATCATGCTATGACGTCACTCGAGGAACATAAAAATTTCATCGCTGGGTGCTAATCATAGACATTGCATGGATATTTGAAATAAGTAATAAGTACTGTTCTATTTACAACAAATTTCATGCTTCAACAATTGAAGGAAATCTCCTTATAAAATAACATGCATATAACGCGTGTTCTGATTGGTTGAAGCCCGTGTTTGGATCAGGCCATCCAAACACGGAATCCATTAAGTAATTGTTAATTCCAAATGAAAACCACAAGGAAGGGAGGGACCTGTGTTAATAGGATATATCATGCATTCTTTTCAAAAGTTTTTTGTGTCTCTCTTTTGTCATAGCTATCCTCCTATGAGGACAGACATATGCAAATAAGTTGTGGATCCCCTAGGCGTCGCCAGTATCGATAAGTGTGGTGGAAATAAAAGCCATCAATTTGAAAATAAATTAAAAATGTGGAACAAAAAGGTATGAGTTTGTCCCCCCTCACATATCAAGCTGACGGCGCCACTGTGTCAAGCGGCAATACTTACGTCGCCAGGAAAAAACTGCTCTCCTCTGATTCCATAGTTTTTGATTTCCCAATAAAGTACGAATATGAACTTGGCCATAATAAACACATAACATATTATTATAGGCATCTCGGTCAACACGAGAGCTTTAGTTAGGAACGAAGAATTGTTCTAAAAATTGGTACACGAAAACACTCTTAATCGGTAGAATAATTGCTAGACTTATAGATTAGCTTGTAATTTCCCAGGCGAGGAAACGAATAGAAAATTGGGCACATTTATGTATGGATTTTGCGATAGAAGAAATTCGAAAAGATTGTGATGCAGGCTCCACCAAGATTAAAAATAACTTTGTTGTAAGCGCAGCCTGCTACTGAGATATTGGTAATAAATATAAATGGATCGAGCAGTGGCACTAGAATCATTTGTTGTAAACCCCTCCCCCCCCCAAGAAATCCTTAGGTTCGTATCAGGAGTTGGAATATAATGAGACAATCGAGCATCAAATGAACTTACTTTACATTTCTGGAAAGTGCTTGTCAAATATAGGCAGAAACTGTAAAATGAAATGCAAACCATTTTAATAAAGTGCAACATGCTGACAACCACGTTTTGAAGCAAAAATATTAACATTTTTCATCCATGCAGTCCCGTAATCAACAACTATATTAATCCGTCGAGCGTTTTTACCATGCAGTAAGATATTTGTCAAATAATCCTGGGGCCGGTCCACCGGATTGTGGTTTTCTCGATCGCTCCAAAAATCGTACGGTATAACCTGTCTTAGACTCAATATTCCTAAACTTGAGGAATCTCTCTCACAATTGTAAGCTCAAAATGTCTAGTTTTATCACTTTTGGGGCATTTTTACAACGTTAATAAAATCACTATTCGATGGATAGAGCTATCCAACTTTCGTACAACCGGCCCCTGACGTGTTAGCGATGAAAACAATAGGCGGACGATAAGAATCGTGTACGTAAGAATGGAGAGAGGTGGGAGAACATCGCCACCATGAATCATTAAGTTTACTTACAATATCGCACAATAAGGAAGGCCCATCATTGCTCCAATAATTTTGTGATACGTCGTCAGGCAAGCAAAAAACGGGTAATAAAGGAAAGCACATTCAATTGCAATGCCGACGACGAAAAACACTATAAAGAAAATCAGTTTCACAAAGGCATAGTATGATATTTACTACACAAAATGTTTTGCACGTTTTTGTATTTTTATTACCTCTTTCCCAAGCGTTTTTGCCTTGGAGCCCTAGTGATGCAACTAGAACGATGATTGATCCAGTAGCAGCTCCAAACACAAACATGCTGGCAAGACGATGATGATCAATACCGAGGAAATCTATAGGGCTAAATACGGTGGAATATATTACACAGCTATTAAACTCCGTCTATACCCAGTAAAAGAGCAATAAAGCACTCAATAGGAAGGCTTTTTAAATAAGAGAGGATTTCACTTCATTATTTTAAACCTAGTTTCCATTTATGATTTTTGGCACTTCCGTTGAGGCAGGTAAATTCTAGGGGTTTAAAGGGTCTTATTAAAGCAAGTCATTCTCGCCCATTAGAAATATTCTATGAGTAAATTTGTTCTTATTTCTGCATACTAATCGGTCATTGTTGACTAGACACACAAAAGAATATTCCATCATATCAGCCACCTTGACATGTTAACTAAAAGGACACCAGGGGCCGGTTGTATAAAAAGGTAGTTAACTTTTAACGATAGTTAGTGGCAAAATTGGTCAATCAGAATAATGTATTTTCTAGTTAACTACGATTTAACTACTTAAAATGTTGTTAAAGAGTTTTATACAACCGGCCCCTGGGCTACACTCAACGTGCAAGTCTTTCTTGGTCTATTCGACCAAACGTAGTTGCACAAAAAAACCAGATTAATTCACAAAACTCACACAACAAGCCCAGGTCGACCTCCCCAAACGTGTTTCTTAAAACTCTTTCTTCGTCGCAGAGATGCCAAAATCGTCAGAATAATTGCCAGAAGAGATTGTAGTTTTCTCATTATCGGTTTTAGACCAAGGGACAACATACCCTTCGTCTCTTGTAACAGCGCTAGCTTGTACTCACTGTGCTCAGACGGGCTTATTTGCCATCTAACGCTCAGCGGGGATTCAAACAAAAAAATTCATGAGTTTCACAATTACTTGCTCCAGGGCCGCCGAAAGGTTGCTTTCTTCTTGACAAAAATATTGGTAGGCTGGATTTCCACTTTCAGAGAAATAGTAAATCGTTCGCTAGCAAAATATTTGCATATTTTCTTTGAATTGAGAACAGTCAAGTTGAACTAACTTATTTCAGGTGTTAAAATCTAATTAAAATATGCAAGAATTTCGCTGCTAACAAGTGGAAATCCAACCGTACTGTCGTCATGCTACGTGCACGAAATATTTTCTCTTTAAATCCAGTCCCTATTAACCGTTTAGTTTCCTAATTGCAAATCACGAAATCCGTAACGTAACGATTATTACCAAAATTTGCCTCCATGTCGTCACGTCGAGAGGAAATTCGCCTTAAAATTCTCCAACTAAAATAAGGTACTAATACTTTAAACTTACTGCAGGAAGCAAAAGCAGATGAGGATAATATCTGGTATCAACATTACACGCAACACTGGAAAAAGATGAAAAACGTATCAGCACGTACTTTCCCTAATAAACCTTTCCCCTAATAAATCTTTCCTCTTAAGGCTAGTTTCCACTCAGGAAGAATCTCCCTTGGATCGGAACGGACAGGAAAATTTCCTTTGTCGGTGAGTTCTCGGTGGCGTTTATAAAAAGGAAACTTTCCTGTCCTATCTGATCCAAAGGAGAATTTTCCTGAGTGGAAACTATCCTTAATAGACCTTTCCCCAAATAGACCTTTTCCCATTTAGCTTTCAAGCGCGCAATGCGTGACGGTAGCTGATTACCAAGCAACTTTCAATTGCGATATCGCTCTGTTTTGAAGCGATTTTGTTTGTAAGAAAACCTTGCCGATTCTTTAAATCGCTCCGGAACATTGCGAAATCACAACTCAAATTGACTTGGATAATTAACTACCGTCACGCGTTGCGCGCTTGAAAGATAAAAGAGGAAAGGTCTATTGCCTTAAAAAAGTTGATCAATTTTGTGAAACCATACCCAGCCAGTTACATTTACAGGTAGTTTAGACAAGTATAACATGAGAAATGCGTTTTTGGTTTTAAAAATTCCCACTTTATTCAGAAGAGAAACAATAAACCTAATCTCAATGACGCGTCATTCAAACTTTTTCTATACAATTAATGGCAAATCAATGCAGTTTGAAAAAATAGCGAACAATGTTGGTACAAAAACTGTTGGTAACAATTCTGGTAAACGGCAGGTTCAGAGATTTTAGCGGTGTATAAATTAAATATGGCTCACCTGGTTGACGTTTCCTGGGATGATGTTCCTGTATAGTTAGCCATTGCTTGTTAGGTAATGAAAACTTTGAAAGAGATATTGAAATTATCACTTGATGGAAATCGTGCAATTTACCCCAAGCTTGTGGACTGTAGTGAGTTAGAAATTCATCATTTTGATGTTTATTTTATTGTAAATATTGTGTTGTACACATAAAAAACACGCCAACAAAGCTATGATCTATGGAACAGTCAGCGAGTATTAAAGATGCAAATAAGCAAAAAAATTTAAATGCATAACTAGTAAAACGGCAGAACTTAGTTAAAAAATCTTGTAGAAAGCGTACAGTATAACCAGGGCGATAATCTTCGAGGAGGAGTGCATATATTTATCTATTCGTTCTGCCCGGGGGGATTTCTGGTACAGGGCTAAAGCTGAGCTGTTGCAACGTTTCCTGCATGTTTGGTCCTAAAATAATCGTACGTTTCTATCCTGATTGAATGCATTAAGAGTTGCCAACTTAATAATTATGGAACCAAGTGAAAGGACAATAGATCGCACCCAAAACACGACAGAGATCAATTTTAGACAGGTAAAGTTTGGTCGCGAAGTGTTTTAGGATGTGGAAAATGTGACTGATGAAATTCACTATCTTTTTCTATTATTTTTGTATTTGTATTCCGTACGGGGCCTGTCTGATTGGTCAAATTCTTATAGCATTACATTATGGATGAATAAGAACAATCAATAAGAATTAAGACAGAATACTGGAGTGGCGATTCAGAACGGTCAAGAATTAAATTCATGTATTCAGAATTTACTGAACATGCATCCTCGTTCCGAGGTTTTTCCTGTCTGATAATCAGACAGCTTCCTGCGTGGCACACGCAGTACGCAAAAAACCTGGGTACGAGGATGCATGTTCTTTAGATTAAGTCAGGATTAGGGTTAAATTTAGGATTAGGATTAACCCTTATGAGTCATAAATCTTGTATCCAATCTTAACCGTAATCCAATCTTAATCACCTAGACCAATTTAAACCAGGAATGACAAAATCTTCTTAATCCACCACTGTGTTTACATCTGTATTATTAATGCGTGTGAATGCGCAATTCAACCACAATACAACAGCGTTATACCATTATCTCTCAAGTATTCTAATAATTTTCACCTGAATAACCAAATAAGTGTTTCATTCGTTGAAGTAAACACTTGAAAATTCGACACATGCAATTTTTCGAACTGCTTAGCGGAAATACACACTTCACAATTCACATGCAATCGAAAAAATTGTTTTGAATACTTCGCACGTCATTCGAGCCGAGGGTTCATTTCAATAAAATTTCACGGGTGAAACGTTCTGAATAATATTATTTTGGGTCTTTGTTCAAAAAGTCGCGCAATGTTTGTTGCGGTAATGCCAGTTACTACGCGTTTCCCTAAAACATATTGGTCGGAACTCGGAACTCGAAATGCCCCCCCCCCCACTGTGGGCCTACTTCGCCAGTTCAAAAAGGTGGCCACTGGACGTCAATTAAGCCCGCCAGACACGAGAGCTATCACCTGAGCTAACGACCTCGCTAGGCAGTTTATAGTTCAGCCCGAAACTCATCCGCACACGAGAGAAACTTGCCTTTCGAGTGAATTCCTCATAAAAACTATCCACACACGAGAGAAACTTCTTGATAAGTCAGATAATAGTCCCGCGGGGTCTTTTCTTCGGCTAATAGCTCTCGTGTTGGGGGGTTTTAAAAAAACGCCGTACATCTAAAGGTAAGGCCATGTTACACGCTGCAATTTTTCTTGCAACTTGCAATGCTATTCTACTTTTAAGATATGTAAATTAGTGAAGAGGCTTCAAAATGTAAGTGCAAGAAACGTACATTGAGTGTAATAAACGTAAAAGTTTCGTAGTTGCCAAATTTATATCTCTCAAAAGTAGAATTGCATTGCAAGTCGCCAGAAAAATTGCACTGTGTAACAGGGCCTTATTTACTAGACTTACTGACTACATTATTATACCAATTAGTTCAGCCTCTTACATGACCAAGTGGCCTAGCCAGCCTGACGATATTGCGCCAAGGTTGAATATAAAAGATTTTTCTAGAAAAAAAACTTTTTTCTTTTATTAATAAAAGAAGATTTTTGCTAATAAAAGAAGATTTTTGCTAATAAAAAAAGATTTTTGCTAATAAAAGAAGATTTTTGCTAGTAAAAGATTTTTGCTAAGAAAAGAAGACTTTTGCTAATAAAAGAAGATTTTTGCTAATAAAGGAAGATTTTGCTAATAAAAGAAGATTTTTGCTAATAAAGGAAGATTTTGCAAATAAAAGAAGATTTTCGCCAATAAAAGAAGATTTTTGCTAATAAAAGAAGATTTTTGCTAATAAAAGAAGATTTTTGCTAATAAAGGAAGATTTTGCTAATAAAAGAAGATTTTTGCTAATAAAGGAAGATTTTGCAAATAAAAGAAGATTTTCGCCAATAAAAGAAGATTTTTGCTAATAAAAGAAGATTTTTGCTAATAAAAGAAGATTTTACTAATAAAAGAAGATTTTTAGATTGTTTCAAAAGTCAAAAATTCGAAATGGCAAATACAATGTGATCATTGTGATGTCATATATTTAAAATAACATTGATCAGTTTTAGCACTTTTATGCTTTTATGTAATCATTTATCAATCCTTCTCTTGAATCTTGAGCCGACTGGCCTTGATGACTGTGATGGTATAATTATGTTATCACTTTATTTTATCATTTTTAAAATATTAATATTTGTTATTAACTTCTTGATTTTCAAAGTAATAATGTAAATATCAAAAATAATAAAAGAAAATCAAAGGCAAAAACAAAATCTTCTAAAATAAAAGAAGAAATAATAAAAGACGATTTGCCAACCCTGTTTATTGTCCTGCTATGTAAATTTCGAGTTATTATAATAATTCATTTCTTTAGAAATTTATCGTTTTCAAAGTTAATGAACACCAAAATATTAGCATAGCGGGACAAATCGGCAGGCTGGCTACGCTAGTGCATGACTAGATTTATGCCTTTATGCATGTAAACTACCCAGCAGATTGATTTATATGTTGTTATTAACAGAGATTATGCATGAAATGACTTTACTAACGGTTCAATGGGTTTACAAACGATTCAATGCGTTTGGGACAGGAAATTAATCTCATTATATTATAATCTTACAGATATTGCTCGACAGTCGCTAAATATAGACGCCTAATTAAAGCGGGCATATTCACATTATACATGTTTATACAAAACAATCGCTTTCAAAAAACGTTCAAGGGCAAGGCGAATATATATAAACATGTAATGGACTACGTGTCTAGCGACGGCTTTTATTTGCATGTGATTCGTTTTACTGCATGAAACGACCAATGAGTAATAAATAAGATCGTCAGATAAGTTATATTTGATTACTTGATTGCAAGAACAACAGGTATAATGCATAATACTTGTAGTCATAATACGGGTGGGATCTTAAACATGTTTATGATTATATCAAGTGCGACCAACAGCTAAATGCACATGTTAACTTAATTACTTATAGACTTGCTCTAAATGACTAAATCTTTCTTTTATTTCCAAACACATGTAAACAGCAGAGTAATAAAAGAATGCCAACCTGCATTTGTGTGAGATACTTATATATTTCTAGAAAATGGACAAATCTTCTATATACTTACCGATAGCCACAATATCATGGAAAAGTGGTGAAATTCGTAATACACAAAGTGTCAAAGTTCTTCTTCTGGAATAACGTTTCCCGCCAGATAATGGGTATCGGATTCAAATGATCAGATTTCGATGACACAATTCTACCCTGTCTTGTCTTGCCTAATTCCTGCCCCGCGCGTGTGCATGCGTTCGTCGTGGTTTGTATAATAAAATGTAAATAAATTATGTAATATAAATAGGTAATATTAATTAATGTCACCCCAGTGTGTCGCGGTCGGCGTTAGACCATATAACGTACATGACGTCATAAATTTTGCAATAACGGAAGTATAATAACAGAAGTCTTACATGAAGTCTTCCCAGAGCTGGTTGATAAAAATGATAAAATAGAAATGGCGATGAATGATGATACATTTATACATTTATAAATGTACACGAAAGTGTAAATGTCTGTTACCCTCATACCCAGTATAGGAGTGATCATATACTTATGTAATAGTATCTCTGGCTTTACCTTAATTACGGTTAGGGACTTAGGGTTAGGGTTATTGAAAATTTTATGACGTCATGTACGTTAGTTCGATATGATCTAACGCCGACCGTGTGTCACCCACACAGTGAACTCAAATAAAACTGGAACGCTCACTCTATGACTTTCCCTCATTGATGAGTGAAGCCAAGATGGCGGATCATGATGCCTTTCTTGTAGGTATGACCCAGGCCTCTGGCGCGGAAACTTCAAAGGATCAATCAGAATTCCCGACAAAATTTCCGCGTGGAGGCCTGGATCATACCTACAAGAAAGGCTTCATGATCCGCCATCTTGGTTTCAAACTTCCGGCAGAGTGAGCGTTCCAGTTTTATTTCAGTTCACTGCACCCACACAGCTAGTGCTTCCACTCGCTGCAATCTGAATTTCCCTTTCTTTCCTGTTTTTCCTTTACATTTTCTTTCAAGCATCACAAAATTTCGTTTCAATTTTCCTAGCAGTTTATTCCTCTTTTTATTCATAAATCGAAATATCCGCATTTGAAGCCCTTTTACAACTCAGGGGCCAGAGGGTGTTTCCGGTGCAACCTCGTTCCCAGGGCCTTTTGGGACTTTATAGGGAGGGTTGAGGCTGCGGGGGGGGGGGGTGTTCCGGTGTTATACAAGTACCTCGCACAACTTGGATAAGTGTCAATAGACCACTTTGGCGGTAGTTTCCGTAAGTGGAAACACGTGCTCGCTAATTGGTTTTTCGAGACAAACATGGCCGAAGGTTATATAAAACAAATATAGAATGGTTGCAACTAAGAGGTGCGCTTGGGGTAGATGTAATAGTGATTCTCGCTACCCTGAGCGACTGAAACGAGAAGGCAAGGCTAATGTGTTTTTCCTGCGTTTTCCTAGCGCTAAATACCACAACGAGAAGCGGGAACGTTGGATTCGTGCGTGCCACAGAGGCGACGCATTTAAATGCAAATATCACAGCTTCATATGCAGCCTTCATTTCGTTGGAGAAAACGGGCCTCCGTACGAACACCCAGACCCTATATCAGCGGTAAAAAGTGCAGAAAATGTAAGTACTCAGATTAGCAAGCCTGTCTTTTCTAAAAAGCGTCAGGGATGCGTAATTATGTAAATTAGTATAAAAAATGTTTTACGTAATAAAGCTTGATCAACAGGCTCCTGTTCTGCTTTTGCCTCGTTGCCCTTTGGACCATGTCGCCCTTTTATGACTACAAAATGCTAAACCATGAGTACTATCTCACTTCATGAATTTAGGCAGAAAAACTAAAGATCAAGCGAAGAAAACCACGAGGAAGAGAGTACACCTCGCCGATAAAACGAGCTCGAATATCGAAAGTCGACGCAGCGGAAACACTGTTGTCACTGAGGGAAGAAGTAAGCAAGCAAACTAGCGACAACGATATTCATAAATCGAACATGGAAGACACATTGCCTGATACTCAGACGGATTCAGAGCTGTCAAAGGAAAAGAATGTTCAAGCTGTGATATTTGCATTTAAATGCGTCGCCTCTGTGGCACGCACGAATCCAACGTTCCCGCTTCTCGTTGTGGTATTTAGCGCCAGGAAAACGCAGGAAAAACACATCAGCCTTGCCTTCTCGTTTCAGTCGCTCAGGGTAGCGAGAATCACTATTACATCTACCCCAAGCGCACCTCTTAGTTGCAACCATTCTATATTTGTTTTATATAACCTTCGGCTATGTTGTCTCGAAAAACCAATTAGCGAGCACGTGTTTCCACTTACGGAAACAACCGCCAAAGTGGTCTATTATGTAACAATTATTTAGAACTGGTTTATTAGTTGGTTTGTCACTACAAGTAGAATACTAAATTTTCTTTTCGCAAAGTTCATTATTTCCTTTTGCAAGGTAATTTTCTGGCAAGTGGAAGACCTGGTTATCCTACAGCACTTGCAGCTTATTTAAATAACAACGCGGAATTTTCCGCGCGAAGTAAAATTTTTGCTCGTGTGCTCTCAAAACTAACGTAAAGACGGTTTTCCAATAGGATTAAAACAGGATTTCTAATAATTAGCCAAATTCATAATATTAGAGACGAAAAACTGGTCTGATCACAGACGGGTTTCACGGACTGTACTTGTTTTTCTACGGTTCTATCGCTACATTTACCAAAATTCGAAAAAACAAATTATACATTGTTTACTCATCTAGTATTAATCCTGTATTATCTGGCCCATAATTACCAACATTACCAACATCGATTTTGACGTCGCTATCTTCAGTGACACAAATAGTCTTCGCACGTTTTCGTTCAGCTACAAGTTGTGGATTGCGAGCCAAGGTGAGTGCGATGAACCACTTGGCGCGAGCCTGGGGAGAACGTTTCCACTTTGCTCCACTTTTCCTTTCTAAGATATATACAACGATGAGGAAGTCAGATAAATATGGTTTAATATTGGAAAACTGAATTTGACGTTCGCGGTTAATATCGTTACGCGACCACCACAAACATAGCAGGATTGCAGAGTCTATAATACTCTCTTTTCTATACCATTCAAATAACCAATTGTTGTATCGTTAATCAGTTGCATAATCATAATCATGAACTTATATGGATATTATAGTATTCGCATATAAAATGAATGATGTAAATATATATATATATAAAGTTTTTAAATATATATATAGCTAGGTATATATTCTCTGAGTACTTGACTGAGTGGGAACACTATACCAATTAATGTGAACGATTGCGAGAATAGTTTAAAAACAGCTAAATTAATTGATAATAATTATATGGATAGCCCGTTTTGCTCCTGTTGATGATTAATAACTATCTACAAGCTACCGTTAACCGTTGTGTATAGGTTTTAACCTTTCTTGCTTATACTAACGCATATTCTATAATAGAGCAAGGTTTCCACTATTTCTTTGATATCAATATTCAGTGCTTCAGTAAAGACTGATACGTGGTAGAACTTACGTGTTTCGTGATCATCGATCAGTGTTTGACAAAACACTCGAAGAACTGGGTTTCTAAAAGCTGCTTGGACGTGAAGATAACAGGTGTACGCATTGTAACCTTTTAAAACAATAAAAACAACGTTACAGACCCGCAATAATTAAGTAGAGCACTAGAGTTTGATATTTAGTGTTCGGTATGACGTAATCGGAGAGAAACATTCTTTTGTGATTACAAGAGGAAACTAATTCTGATTTTTTGTTTACACAAAGCGCCATTTTGTTCAATGGGCCTGATGTCCTTTTATTTCAAAATACAAAGTTTTTCTTCCAAAATATAAAGAATAAGGCCATTTTTTTTGCTAAACAAGAAATCAAAATTAGTTTCCACATGTAATCATGAAAGAATGTTTCACGCTGATACGAAAAAAACAACTTCGAAATGCATGCATTGTTGGCACGTCCACCCACCCACGTTTCAACCAAAACTACTTAAGCGGCATGCATCATTTCTTGTTTGTCTACCACCTGAAGATTCCTACACGGATGAAACAGACGGTAGTGAAGGATTTTGGGTAAGCAATGCTTTTATATTTTCTCTATCTATATAGTATATAGTATATAGTATATAGTATATAGCATATAGTATATAGATAGAGATAATTTAAAAATCGTTCTGCACTTTATGCAATTCGAAAAATTAACGTACGATATTTGTCTACGCACTTTTCAAGATGGCAAGGGATATATAAAAAAGTCTAAATATAAACACATAACTTAAACCTAATTTCTCCCTCTACCCACCCTTCTGTCCCTCTCTCTCACTCTCTCTCCCTCTCTCCCACTCTCTCTCTCTTTTTTGCGTTACCTGGATCAAACCGTTGAAAACCATCAGGCATGATGCTATGATCAATTCTGGGCAACATCAGAAATCCAACAATCATTGTTTTTAGGATACGAAATATGGCAGAAAAGAAACCCATCGGAAGTCCCACGAAAAACCAAAAATACGAAAACACCAAATAGACATTCCTGTGGAGAGGATAAAAATATACGATATTTCCAAGGTAAAAATGACGGCTTCGTGATATTGGAATCTGACTCAACCAGTGTACCGTCTAGCCTCTCAGAAAGCGCAACGAAAGCGTACCTGTTGTTTATGGAAATGACGTTTCTAGAGAAGTTACGATCTCGGAATATTGTCACAGAAGCTGCAATGGAGCACAGCCGAAAAAAAAGAGCCAAGCCAAAGAGTACGCTAAATAGAATGTGAGACAAAAACTGTTAAGACTTAAGGTGGCTCGATACAGTTTACGAAATTTTTGGGGCATATTTTACTAGGCATCTAAACGTTTCGCTAGAATTCAGGCTAAAAGTTAATATACTTTGCAGGAAAACACATCTAGAGCGTAAATCAAAGTCGACAGGTCTTGGGTCAAAAGGTCTGAGCATCTCTGTTCATAAAAATGCATGTACAAGGGAAGTCGGCCAGCAATATTTATAAAGAGTAAGTATTTATCATTGCAAAATAAGAAAGCGCAGTATGTGCCTAAACACATTGTTTAATAACATTGCTAAGAATGTCTAAATTGAAAAAATCTGAAGAGTACATAAACACAGTTGATTCCCTACCCGCCGCCGTTGATATAGTCGAGGATCCAATCCTGAACCATGGAAAATTTCAAGGAATATAAAAGAACACATGGGATAAATATGACAATCCAATTTAAAACAAGGCCTACAAAGAAAAAGAAGCGATATCAATACAATATGACCATTAGGATGGCCCCTACTGTAGAGAAAAATTTAACTCAGTGACGAGTACAAGGTCAGCCGAAGATCGTTAAGTGTTGGGCTAATATTCTTATATTCATCCATCGCAATTATCGCTACTTCAATTCATTCGTATATTCATGTTAGCAGACTGTAAAAACAATCAATTTCAAAAAAAACTAATAATGCTAAAAGTTTATACATGAATATAATCTCCTTCCCCCCCCGCTGTCCTTACGGTAACTATATATCAATATCACCGCCTGATGTTCGTTCATGTATAGACACCAGGTGTTACAATAGTTAAGGAGTTACAATAGCACCTCTTTAGCTGATTTTTGGACTCCTAATTTGCTTTGGTGGTAAATTGCAAGTGCTAATTAAACACGCACCGATTTAGGAGTACATTTAAAACCATAAATGCGATGGTATAATATACCTATATCATGCATAATCAACGAATACTCACCCCACAAAAAGTATCCAATCTGAAAACTATGATATCGAAGTCCCTTTCCCTGTAAAAATGGAAGAACGGAAGTTCAATTGCTTGGTAGCGAAAGACAGTGAATTCCCGCCGTCATTAAATTCTAATTGTTAATTTCAAAACTTGTGGTTTGAGCTTTTTACACGTAAACCAAGTATATCCCTATAGCATTTTTTACGACTAAATTAGGTCAATATTTAAAATTGTTCATTTGGGGTTTGATGCACCAATGTGTAGCTACATGATTCCACATTTACCCTACTGAGCCTACTCTATACGTATATGCGTACTCTAACTTCTAGTTAACCACTGTTTATTCCACATTTACCCTACTCTATACACATATGTACTCTAACTTCTAGTTAACCACTGTTTATTCCACATTTACCCTACTCTATACACATATGTACTCTAACTTCTACTTAACCACTGTTTATTCCACATTTACCCTACTCTATACACATATGTACTCTAACTCACTACTATATACATGTGTGTACTCTAGCATCTTATACCTGACGCTATAATTTTCATTTTTTACTACTCTGCAGGCGCGACTAGGCCCACTCACTGCTCGGATGAGCAATATGTTATTTTTTAAGGAACTTAGGAGTAATAAAAAGAACTTCTTAATTAACTTACAACCATAAACTGAGACACGCTTATGTTCTTAGCGATGAACGATTTATCCCCTCTGAACATCCTCAGCATGTTATTCCTGAAACAAATTACAAGGAAGATCATGTAAAAACTAATCCAACACTAAAAACCCCCCAAAACCGTAATTTTTTCTCCGATTGCAAGATTCTTTCCCGTGAAAAAATGTTTGAATGATTTTGGGATTCTTTCCTCGTAACACAAATATCTCAAATACTTTACTGCGCATGATCGAGGCCCATGTTCTGCTCTGAGGAAATTTTTCAAGTGTGTAATGCAACTTAAAGTCTGGTTTTCATATAACATAATTCGTCGTAATGAACACATTCCGTATTTATGTCGAATTTCTCATATAACAACGAATTACTTAACAATTATTCGCCGAAGGCGAGTTGAATATCGCTGAATAAAAGCCGATACAAACTCGAGTTTTTTATTCAACGGCATTCACTGAGCCTGAGGTGAATAGTATAATTTCACAGACGATTAATTGAGAAGGCGAATTAACAGTAGAAAATACATGTTTACATGTTTTACAAACAAAAAAATATCTCGACAGTTCTACGACGATTCAAATAAAACAATTAATGTTTTCGCGAAATAAAGTTGAAAAGAACTAAATTTTGAATGTGCCAACGTGGGTTTAATTTGTTTCGTCTGACATGAACATTTGCCCAAGTTTATATAACTAGTGGTAAATAATCTGAATAAACTAGTGGTATGAATAATCTTCATTAACTCGTGGATTCGGCTTATAGTACTATATGGATGCATTAGCTTATTGGTCTTGCTTTTTGAGGGGCACCCTGAGTATCAAAAACTATGGATTACGCATCTTTTTCTTCGTATTCATACTTATGATTTTCCATGAAGAGAATGAGGGAGAGCGCACAGATCACAGTCGTGAGGATCGCACTAACCAAAAATGAACCTAGTAAAAAAATGTTCAAAACAGCTTTCTAGTATTCTCATATCGTACAACTCGATATTTATAGTGACTGTATAGAACTCGAGAACACCAACCAAAAATCCCACGCAACAAATCCAAAATTGTTTCTTCTAAAGCATTCAAAGGTTTTGCTTTCTCGATTTCCTCCAATTCCACACTTGTCAAATAGATTAATTCAATGCAAAACTTAAAGATAAAAAGACAAGTATCTGTTAGCGTACAAGGTGTCCGAATAAAAACTACCCACTATTGTAACCAGATTTTTTGTCGTGAATCCGTGAAGTTATACTTTCGGGAATTTATAATCATAATTCTAAAACAAACAGCAACACGAGCTAGGAAGCAAATCACAAACTCGTTTTCAGGGACCGCGGAACTTTTTTTGTATTGCTGGGGCTCGGAACCACGCCCCCGTTAGGAAAGTCCGGAAAAATTTTGAAATATACATATAGGCCTCTAAAATGGCCGCAAATGCCTCACAATTTAAGGATTATTGGGAAATAGAAAATATTTGTAAGGTTTCCAACATATTTTGCGCTCATATACAAACATTAACCATGCTTTGGTTACGATGTCAAATATTTTGATATGGATAACCACGCTGAATTGAGACCGTTATATTAACAGTTCTGAGAAATTTGGATCAAATATTTGAAAATTGAATTATTAGCAATATTATTCTCTATATTAGCTTTTAAATGTTTTGCATAGATATCTAAATCACGCAAATATACCGATTTAATTGGATTAAGCAGTTTTACTCATATAATTTTTATATAATGTATATTCCAATATAACCAGGGAGCAGCGTGGCAGCGTCTTCAAACAACTTAGCATCAAAAACATTAATGTGGTATAACAACTGCCTAAAATAGACAAAACACTTCTCAACGTTTCGACCTGAGGGCCTTCGGCAGGAGAGTTGGTATGAAAATGACGAAGGCCCTCAGGTCGAAACGTCGAGAAGTGTTTTGTCTATATTAGGCAGTTGTTATACCACATTTGATGCTTCATTTTTTGGTGATAATATTTTTAAAAAATGCAAAACTTACATTATAAAGGAGAATGCCACAGATCATCATCACAGAGAGGGTTTCAGTCGAAAACTTAAAATCTTAAAATGTCAAAGGAAAGATCGTAAAAACTTAAGTGAGAGTTCTTGAACGTTTGAAATGATCTTTTAGTAATCTGAATGATCTTTTTGAGGAAATAATCTTTTTATCATATACTGTTGTTTATTAAAAATTACGGGAACCATTGAGTATTGTAATAAAATATAAACTGTGTAAAAAAAGTAAACATTTTGAAAAATATAATTGTCGACATTTCGACTAAGCTATAGTCATGCATCATCAGGAAAAGAATGATGATGAAATAACGCATGTATAAGTATATATATGTAAAATGAAGTAATTAGATAGCCATGTTTAGTTAAATATTAATAAATCTAGATAATAAAAAATATAATAATCTAATAAATTTACTCCTATTTTTATGTTACACTCAATTAGTGTGAATGTGCTCTTTGAATATAGGTAAAAGTGCTTCATCGTATAAATCATCCAATTATCAAACAAGGTCATATACCTTTTTCGGGATTGTAAACTTTCCTCAGAAAAAACTGCATTCTTGAATATTGACGAGGAGGTCTAGAAAAGTAAGACAAGAAAATAACTAGGATAGGAACTTTCCCAGTCTGATGTCGTAAAGTTAAAAACAGATTTTAGGAAAACAAAACGCGCCTTCAAGAAAGAAATTAATGAACAAAAGGTAAGGTTTATTTGAGACAGAGAGCAATTTACTAGCAATTCGAAGTAAACTCTAACAAGACAGTTTGAAAGAGAACATCATGGAACAAAGTCCAAAGTTGTTTTTACTACCCTTGGTCGCAAAAACAACATTTAGTAGAACTAAAGAATCTGATGCTGAAATTCACTACATCTAAATGAGTGAAGCTGGGCATTCTTGTGGTTGTGGTTTTTGTTTGAAGACGCTTTCAAACTCCTATATACGATATTCAACTTTTCAATGGAAACTTGAAATCAGTGATTTTTGGCCACTTTATCCGCTCATTCTGAATAACAGGAATTAGTTTGAAAAAAAGGTGTTATAAGTCTGGTAAGAAGCTCGTTTTAACTGATAACCTGATAAACTGATAACTGATCACACTTATAGAAGATTTTTCCATGTCTATATAATTAGACGATAACCTAATTTACCAGAGTTTACCAGAGCACAAGTTTACCAGAAATGTTTAACAAGTTTTTTCCTATTCTCGTTGAATGCTTTTTACCGGCTGTTTTTTGACGGTCATTTTTAAAATAGTTCGTTTTGCCTGCATATAGCTACTTCTTTTGGCGCAATGGTATTACACATGATCATACTTTGGTTGGAAAATGTTCTTCACGTGTTCATTCAACCAAGGTCTGAGCAATTTCACTTGTGGAGACGAACTTTCATCCTAAACGGACATTCAGAACGTTTTTAATGCTATTGCTTCTCCGAGTTTCACGCTAGAAGTGATCTTCATGCATGTCTATTATTACACAGTATACATTGATCGTCTCCCTAGCGTCGTGTGGTTACTTAAATTGGTGTTTAGTTACATGCCGGCGCATCTCGCGAAAAGTCGCTTTGCTTATTTAGCAATTCATTTGGGCCCCCTTCATCAGCAACAGTTTTCTCATCAGCACTGAAAATCAAGCTCTTATTCGTGTGAAAATACAGCTATGAAAACTGAGCAGATCTCTCGATCAACAAGTTTGGTGGGGTGTGAAACCCCCTCTCATGGTATTTACGAATATTTAAGACTAGTCGTACTCAAAATAGTCTGTTTCCAAATATCTAGAGGCTCATGTGGAATTTGAAAATTCGGCACCAACCATGGTGCTGCCTCGTGAACATCCCCTCGACCAATTTTGAACAATTTTCTACACTAATGTGACTACAATCCCTCTCTCAATCCCAGGGTAAATTCGTACTGTTTTTAAACTCGTATCGTGTATAATGAAGATTACGTCACAAAAATACTTACATCGCGGGAAAATAACTTTACTCCGAAGATTCCATATTCTTTGATCTCCTGGTAAAATACGAATATGAACTTTCCCAGGATAAACAAATGGTTTATCACGATTGGCAAACTGCTCATTATGATTACTGCGAAACCGGTTGAAGAATAATTCTATAAGAATTTAAAAATGAAGTTAAATATTCGTAGGCTACCTTCACGTTCACTCGCGGTAGAAATAAAGGTCGGCAAATCTTTATGCGTCGATATTTTTACATGCTCCTCAAGCGCGCTGCTATATTACTAAATTGCCAAAATAAGCTTACCCGACATTTCTGAAAACTTTGTGTTAAATTTACACAAAAACTGGAATGAAAACGCAAACAAAAGTTAATTGCCTGACTTTACAAGGGCGAAAATGCAAGCTGTTTCCCAGTTTCCGTGTTTGCAATAATATATATATATATATATATATATATATATATATATATATATATATATATATATATATATATATATATATATATATATATATATATACACCCATTTGCAAAAACGTTGGCCGCAGATAGATAGATAGATAGATACTCCAAGTCTAATTAGAATTGCATATGATTATATTTGCATGGGATTTCAATCATATTACACAACATATGCAATTCTAATTAGATTTCGAGTATCTATCTATCTATCTATCTGCGGCCAACGTTTTTGCAAATGGTGTGTATATATATAATTATATATATATATATATATTATATATATATATATAATATATATATATAATTTATTTATTTATTAAAAGACTAGCTTAGCTACTCGGAGTTTCACGCTATAAAGCGATCATCAGGCTAAATCTAAATTTAGCCTGATGATCGCTTTATAGCGTGAAACTCAGAGTAGCTAAGCTAGTCTTTTAATAAATAAATATATCTTCGCTCTGCCGGTAATGGTATTGAGCGCTCTTCAACCATTGTCAAGTTCTGTGAACTCTTCGTTACAGTTAATTCTTTGGATATATATATATATATATATATATATATATATATATATATATATATATATATATAAAGATAAAATAAAATAAACTTGGTTTACTTCATAAGATTTTATTCACTACAAACTTGTTTCGTATGACAAGCAACGCTTGCCACACTCATCAGGTGAATTTAAATGTCGCGCTACATTTAAATTCACCTGATGAGTGTGGCAAGCGTTGCTTGTCATATACGAAACAAGTTTGTAGTGAATAAAATCTTATGAAGTAAACCAAGTTTATTTTATTTTATCTTTATACTAGCTCTATACTTTGGTATATCGAGCACTCTACTCATATATGATTCTAAATACATATTTGATATATATATATATATATATATATATATATATATATATATATATATATATATATATATATAATGTGTGTGTGTTATAACCTACGTTTGTAAAACAATCTATTAAAAGACCACCACCCATAGGGGAAATTTTTCAGGCGACTAAAGGTTTGAAGATAAGGCGGATAGAGGAAGGAGGAAGATAAAACATAGAGATGTCGCTTAAATTAACATGAAATAGGGGGAAGGTCTGGATCGCTTTTCAAGAGGGATAATTAGACACCCCCCCACAACTTCAAAAACTGGAGAAGTCGTGTCCTCCTACACCTTGCAATTTTATGTGGGTTCACACCATTTTTACCAGTATCATAAGGCCAATATGATACTGTCGCATACATGGGCATACATTATGGGTGTTCGCTTAACATTGTTCGAGGTCTGTTTCCAGGTTAAAACGTCATCGAAGGATCTATCGAAAGCGATGGGAAACAGCTGATGCTCAAACTGTTTTTGGAAACATCAATAATTATGAGAACACTCACTTGACTATACAATATGGAAGGCCCATCATTGCTCCAATTATTTTGTGATACGTCGTCAGGCAAGCAAAGAAGGGATAATAAATGACAGCATTTTCAATTGCAATGCCGAAGAGAAGGAACCCTGGATGTAATTTACAAAAAAACGGGTACAATTACTTAAACGATACTTTTGGAATTCAAGAATAACTTTAGAAATACCTCGTCAATAAGAAAAATTCAAAATTGGGAGAATAGAAAAATAATTGAAATAGCAAAATTTTCAAACAAAGTGTTTTGCGTGGCTTGCTTGAAGGCGATTTTCCACTAGGCAACATTTCTCATTTAAAAAAATCATCATTTTTCGCCTGATTCTCTTTTCAATTGTGAGAATTCTGCTATAACAGATTGCCTTGGCCGGTCACAATTGAGAAGAAAATCCAGCGAAATTAAAAATTCTTTACAGTACGACTCATGTTATTTTAGATGTTAGCATGGATGATTTTTACCTTTTTCCCAACCAATTGCACCTGAAATTCCAACCCTTGTGACGAGCGCAATGATTGAATCCGTAGCAGCTCCAAACACAAACATGGTGGCAAGTCGGTCATGATCAATACCAAGGAAATCTACTGGGCTAAATACGGCGAAATAAGAAGTCCCCGCTTTGCCATGTCTCAGATTGTATAGATTTAATATAATTTCCAATATCTTTAGGCAAAGTTTGATTTGGTTATGCCTTATTTAATACAAAAAGTAACTCATCTCAACGTGAGCTCTTAGGATAATTAGCATATTTAGCGTATGTATAGTGGTGAATTTATAGGGTTTCCAGTGGCAAAAGTGGGGCGAATTATTATTTGCTTTCAGTCATTACTATTTGTTGAAATGCTAGAAAATTTAATTTCATACTTTCTAACCTGTCTTGTTGGTGACTCACTACAACAAAAACAGACCGTCCTTTCTCTCAAGAGTTCTTATTCCAGAGACAGGTCTGGTACCATCCTTACAAAAATGAACTTACATAACGAGTCCTGGTCGACCTCCCCAAAAATCTTTCTTGTAACTTTTTCTTCGTCGCAAAAACGCCAAAATCGTAAGAATTATCGCCTGAAACAGATTTTATTTAACTTACATTATGCTACATTACTCCAAAACAGATTATGGACGCAGTAGCCACATGCACACTTAGCGAGCCTATTTTTCAGTATACACCCTGAATAGCAAACATGGCAAGCTCCTTTCTTAAGCTCTTCCTATCATCCTATTTCGAAAGCCCTATTTTGAAAGGCACAGGATGCTGAGTAAGGCTTCATAACACAAGTGTGACATTTTAAACTTACAGCAGGTATCAATAAGAAATGAGGATAATATCTTGAATCGACATCACATTCAACACTATATAGAAATAAGAAAACATATCGGCACTTGAAACAATTACAGACATTTATAGCTAAGCTATTATCATGTATACTCACGCAGTGGAAGGGTCTTTGTCATTCATTGCTGGTAAGTTACCTAAACTATAAAAGATATCGTGAATTAGGTCACATGCACGTCCTGTAAACCCCAAAAAATTACATTGAAAAATACAACCACTAGTGTTTGAAACTGATTTGCATATTTATATTCAATACAAAATGGCCGCTCGTGTTGTAAACATCACTTGTGATCATTATTATTACAGCCAGTTGAACAGCATTATTAGCAAAACGCTATTCTTCCTAATGGGCCTCACTCACTACCAAAAATATAAATAGGATATTCTCGAATATATATACATAGATAAAAATAGTGAAATATAAGAATTAGTATAAGTATAACATTGGCATTTTGATCCATTTTTACGTGGCTACGTTACAAGAGAATTGTTCAAGTTCCTCAACATGAACATGAGGTCAAGAAAATATTGTTTCAATTTCCTTTTGTAAAAGTACATGCAATCACAAAATTCTTTAGTAATACATTTGCCCAAATTTATCAGTTGGCTAGCTTACGGAGTTCATCAAATATTGGAAAAACTCCTCACTTCCAGTTTCAAGTTGAACAATCTCTAATCAATCCTATTGGATAATAAAAATAAATAGACGCATATGATTGGTCAATTCGAAACCGGAAGTTAAGATTTTTTCAAATATTCGATGAACTCCGTAAGCCAGCTGACAAGGAAATAAAGTAATAAAAGTTTATTTTATCGCGAAGTTTCAAAGTTTGGTCAAAAGCAATATCGTCATATAAATAAACCCTTGCAAATGCTTTATACTTTTATTCCAAATTAACACATCCCACGAAGTTTGTTCCAATATCACGCAATTTTTATGCAACAAAAAATCTCATGATCACGTGGTAGTATTCACCCAGCTCTCAATCTTAATTTGAGGTATGTTTATACCCAACCAAATTTCGTGAATTAGGTCACATGCACACCATGTATACCCCATACAAATCAGTTTGAATGAATAAATATTGAAATCAGTTAAAAACTCTAGTGGTTGTATCGGAGAATTTCTGATGGCAAGCCTCAGCAGTATACACAACAAATAATACAATCATAACAGGCATTGGCGAATGTAATTACATAAATATATAAATTACCTGCTATTATGAACAAGCAATCGCCACACTTGGGAGTCCCACCGTCAGCGTGTTGATTAGATCGTTAATGCCGTAATGGAAGCATTTGGAATTAATGACATTAATCAGACTACCGCTTTATTTGCATGGCTCTTTCATTTTCACTGATTTTGCATGTAAACGAGTAAGGTAGAATATAAGTTATATATAGGCAAACTATACACAAACAAGACCGTCTTCAATAAAATAATAACAATGTCCATAATTTTGTCAACGAGTAGGCAGAATGTATGTATATATATATATTGTAATCTAAACTTACCGACAATTTAATTTTTTGTGGAAACAAAATGCAACTCTGTATGCAAACGCTTCCTTTTACCTGAAACCAGACGCCTGCTTAGGCATTCACCCTGGCCTGTAATAACAGGTGGCCAAACTTGATTTGCCCGGAGAAGATAATAATAATATATACATGCTGTAGTATAGCGCACATGCCCGATTGCCCGTGCACTTTTTAAACGCGCGATTCCATTTTGTTTGACATATTCGTCTACATAGTTCGTCTAAATACAAAAAATAATGTAAAGCCGGTTTCCATTTCGGTGCAAATGTCGTGTCATATTTTACTGATGAGAAATAGTCCGGATCTTAATTTGTCTTTATTTCTGTATTCAAATAGGTCATTGTTGCACTGACGCGCGTGGTCATAGAAATATATTGGCACGATTTATACTAGAGACGGACGGAGATCTGTCTGAGTATAAACACACGACAAACTATCTCCTTTTGTCAATAAGCTAAGGCTTAGACTTTGCATGTCTTTGCCACTCGATCATAAAATCCATAACTTTCCGCGAACCGTATATATCCTACACACGCATTTGGATAATGTACGCATGCACCTTTTGCTAAAGATGCATGTATAATTATTAAGATGAATATTTTAAATTGTATAAACAGGGAAATGCAGTTAAAATTGGACAGACTGCAATAAAGGGCGAAAAAAACATCAAATTATTAACAGAACCGTACAATCCGTATGCATAAATAAGCATCATTTATGATTTTAAACTTTTACGTGCGTGCATGCAGGTGGTTAAAGAAAACTCGACAGGGAAATTTGCATCTAGAATGCAAATTTATAAATAAAATTATACAGGGTGTATAAAAAGAAGATCTTTATAGAAATCAATCTATTGTATAACCAACACCCCCCTTCACTATGCAAAGCCTATCGATGTGTGAAATATTGTGTCAGCTTCGTGCATATATTACCTATCTTTGTTGCAACACAAAAGCCTTAAATCTGCTCGATCCTGGAAACTTGACATTACTTCTAAAAGGAAAAATTCTGCACAATAATGCATGCTCAAGAGAGAGTTTATATCGTCCAGACTTATATCCAGATGTAAAGCACAGCTGTGGAACCAGCTGTGGTACAAAAGGCGTTTTGAGAAAGGTTCTTGATCGAAATCCAGGTACCCGGACATTATGCCGAAAGAACTTTGCAGCGAAAAGCACAACTTTGAAAGAGTATTAACTGCATTTTTTTCTTGAAAAGCGCAAACTATATCGCCAGTGAAACTCTTCATGTTTACATTATAAAAGACGGCGTGTTTGCAAATCATTCCTGAGTCCCAGTCCCCCCAACCGACGTATTTTCGAAACTATTTAATTATATCAAAAAGGGTTGTAGAACTTATAAACTAATTTTTCAAGCTCTATTCAAATCCGTAAAGATCCCACAAGTGATATAGGCACTTTAACAGATGGTAAGAAATGTTTGTCTTTGTCAACTTTAGATGCCCTCAGGAGTTGAAATGTATTGCAAGTTGCAAGGAAAGTTGCACAGTATGTAACGAAAAAAAAACTTCTGTTAGTTCTGTTCTTAACGTAGCCATTTGTATTCGAACTAATCAGCTTAATTCGCTTTGTGTGTAGCTTGTTTGATAACCCTAAGGAAGGTATTTTCAAATACCAGAAGCGTGATTAGTTGCACAGCCATTGATACTTCCCATAAAATCGCCCTTGAAGCCAAAATTTAGCTATTTTCGTAAATTTTTCCTGATACACAAAACGGGCCACATGAATTTGTCACGAGCGTACAATAAGATAGAAACATTGCAAGCAAAAACCAACTGGTATTGGGTGCACTATATTTGTTATTTTAACACACATTTCTTCTAATCATTAACCGCAACAAGGCCTGATATCGTCAAAACGTCCTTCTTTTCACATTCGAAAATGTGTGGATGAAAATGTTTTGTCATGCACGATTGCACGGTTCGTTTCCAAACGTAATACAACTATAACTAGCCAAAAAAAAGAAAATCTAAAGAAACATGCAAACTTAACATTGTTTACTTATCTAATATTAATCCTGTATTATCTGGCCCATAATTACCAATCTCGATTTTGACGTCGCTATCTTCAGTGACACACATTGTCTTCGCACGTTTTCGTTCAGCTGCAAGTTGTGGATTGCGAGCCAAGGTGAGTGCGATGAACCACTTGGCGCGGGCCTGGGGAGAACGTTTTCCACTTTTGGTCCACTTTTCCTTTCTAGGATATATACAACGACGAGGAAGTCGGGCTGATTTGAATAAGTTGCATTTAGACCTTTTGCCATACCAGCCGAAGAAGTTTAGGAAAGTGGGCGATTGTCTGCCTGACGAGGTTCAGGTCAGCTAGGGTTCCTGCATCATGCGAACACGAAAATGCTTATCGCTTAACGCTATCTAAATTAATTTAAATTAATTCATGGGCAATAATTGATGCATTTGTTACAAACATATATTTCGCATCTTTGCGCTCAGCTCGTGAACTAAAAAATTAAGGTTCTCTAAATTGAAAACATTGAAGTAACGATTCTTTTACCGTGAAGACGAATGAAGCCTCTGCGTGGAACGGTGGAAGCACCGACTGTTTAAAAAGGTAATAATTCATGGTAGGTAATAATACATGTTCAGTAAATCGTAAATACACGAATTTAATTCTTGAGATTAGGTTCGAATTAGGGTTAACCCTAATGAACAAAATCCTAATCTAAAACCTAATCCTAATCCAATTTTTTATCTAATCTCAAGGATTAAATTCCCGTATTTGGAATTTGAACATGGATTATTATTACCGTTTAAGACTAATTATTGCTTCCAGTGGCTAACGTAAAGACTGATACGTGGTAGAACTTACGTGTTTCGTGATCATCGATCAGCATTTGACAAAACACTCGAAGAACTGGGTTTCTAAAAGCTGCTTGGACGTGAAGATAACAGATATACGCATTGTAACCTTTCGAAGAAATGAGGACAACATAAACGTTACAGACAGTACAGCCTGTACTGTATAAATATGGCGATTAGTTCAAAACGAAATTCCTCCTTGTTGTTTCTTTACCAATCTGATCTTCCCAACGCGTTTCAGCACAGCAACTGTCAACCTGTACTACAGGTTGACAGTTGCTGTGCTGAAACGCGTTGGGAAGATCAGATTGGAAAAAAAACAACAAGGAGGAATTTCGTTTTGAACTAATCGCCAAATTTGTTTACATTTTTTAGGCAAAGCCAATCAGAATGCCTAAATTTCAAATACTTCATGTAAAATGGTATATATATATTGTACTTTTTATCAAAATTTATGCATTCTGATTAGGTTACTGAAAATGTAAAAAAACTTGCTGATTGGTCCAAAACGAAATCCCCTCTTGAAAGAAACACAAAGTGCCTTGCCTTTACCTTTATTACAAAGTGCCTTGCCTTCATGCTTTTACTGAGTTCAAAAGGAAGTGAATAATGTATGGACTATCAATATGGTGTTACCTGGATCAATGCGTTGAAAACCATCAGGCATGATGCTATGATCAATCCTTGGTAACATCAAAAGTCCCACAGCCATTGTTTTCAGGATACGAAAAATGGCGGAAAAGAGACCCAGCGGAAGACCCACAAAAAACCAAAAGTAGGAAAATACCAAATAGAGATTTCTAGGGAGTACGTAAAAAAAAGTCTGGGTTTTACACTCCAGATATGCATGGTGAATAACTAAGATCGACATATAGCATACACATTCGAAGACATAAAGTGAATATAAATACATATTTCCTCATGATGAAGAAACTCAGGATAAATGATAGTCGGCTTAGGAATTCTCGAAATTCCATGCATGCATGTATATCTTAAATTTTATTTTTACATTCATCAAAGACATGATATCAGTAGAGTTCAGCAGTTAATGCCGATTTCTGTGAAAACTTGGTTCATGTTATATTTTTGGACCAGGAACTGGTCCCCACACGCGGCTAATCTTTTTGTTGTTGTTGTTGTTGTTGTTGTTGTTGTTGTTGTTGTTGTTGTTGTTGTTGTCGTCGTTGTTGTTGTTAGGGGGTGACGCTCTTTAAAAAAGCCTAAGGCTCCGTCAATTCGCATCAGATCGCAATTAAACTTCACACAATTATCCTTAGTGATATTCCCCATCGATTGACGGAGTTATAATTTTGATTTTTTGATTTTAAAGAAATTTAGAAGCAACTAAAAATTGTAGCGTAGTAATCCGTATAGATTATATTTAATATTAGTATGCATAACTGAAGCAAGTTCAAATGGCTAAGGCTCCGTCATTTCGCACCAGATCGTGATAAAACTTCACACAACTATCTTAAAGGTTATTCTCTAACAGTTCTCATTTTCACACAGTCCAGTCGCTGGGCTGCTGGAGATGATTAAGGCGTACCTGTTGTTTATGGAAATGACATTCCTGGAGTAGTTATAATCACGGAATATTGTCACAGAGGCAATGAGGGTACACATCCATATGAAAAAAGCCACTCCCGCCATAATGCTAAATGAAAAGGAAGACAGGACTTTGTTGAGGCAAAGAAACTATAGACGCCCTAAAAAAGTAACCTTTATTGAAATCAGACCTTTCGTGTAAACATGTGTAGTTATACCTTGTGTAGTTATAATAGTTTCTAAAACAAACAGCGATACACCAAGATTTCAAAACACAACTTCGTCTTACCGCCAATTCACAGAATTTATTTGTTGAATTTGTTTGCCTTATTTCTTTGTTATGCTATTTTGCCGATCGGTAAGTTTCATTATTCCGTCATTAACTCGAATTCTAAGAGGCGTCCCAACCCACGTTCAAAACAAAAGGCTTCATTTTAAGTGGAGGGTACTTTTCAGGACAACGTCAATCACCTATTGTTAAATTTCGAATGACTTGTTCGCGAAATTTTGCCCCGTGAGCATTAACGCAACTTATAAAATGCTAAATACAAAAATTGCCAGAGAAGAGGGGCATGTCGAATGTCACCACTTAAATATTGTTGTTATCCATATTTAAAATTGTAAATATGGTTAATAAAGACAGGTTTATTTGCAGGTACGAACAAATTTTAATGTCATCATGCAAAAAATGCTTGTATTAAACATTTATATACTTGTGACTTGTGTATGTCCTAACAGGGTGCTTAGCTATGCATTCAACTCTAACTATTAAATTGTTATGGGTGAATTCAATAGTTTTGGGGTTTTTTGGGACACTTTGTAGAAAAACTCAAAATATAAGACATAGAACACCCTGAATATTTATATAGTAGTTGCGTGTTTTTTAAACACCCTGTACAAAAGTTGAATGAATGGAAGTGATTCACCTCCAAAGTGAAATTATTCTTATATTCTATAAGAAACATGTTATAAATTTTAGTAAAGGTGTATGGTTCTATAGCTGCAACGCTAGAACATGGCAAGGAATCGCAAGAGCTGTGGAAAATATGTGTATATATATATATATATATATATATATATATATATATATATATATATATATATATATATATATATATATATATATATACCCATTTGCAAAAACGTTGGCCGCAAATACTAGATAGATAGATAGATACTCGAAGTCTAATTAGAATTGCATATGATTACATTTGCATGGGATTTCAATCATATTACACAACATATGCAATTCTAATTAGATTTCGGGTATATATCTATATATCTATCTGCGGCCAACGTTTTTGCAAACGGGTGTATATATATATATAAACATATACATATCCCGCCTACCTGGATTCACCAACGAAGTGATGAATAATTTTCCAGACAAAGCGATATTGCAGGAGAAATAAAACAAAACAGAGAAGAAACAAGGTAATCAAGTCGAAAATTAATCCTACAATGAAAAAAAGTGACATCAGAAGAACAAACTACAATATGGTTAAAACTGTTTAAAAATAGTTATGCAATTATAGACTATCGATAGGTGCCTAATGTTGGTCTGTAAGAGAAAGTAATCCTCTAAATTTTACCACGGGTCAACTAAGGCCATTCACTCACCCCACAGAAAGTATCCAATCTGAAAACTATGGAATCGAAGTCCTCTTCCCTGTAAAAATCGAAAAAACCAAACTTAAACTTGGTAAGTGAAGGGCTGAACAGAGTGGAAGTACATGTACATCGTTGCTCATTTTGCATTGAATAATCTGGCCTTCAAATGCTGAAGAAAGATCGTTCATTGATGAAACCATAGTTAATAGAATATACATGGTTCGGAGACCACATGAAACTACAATACAATTCATTAAATATGTTGAGGTAGATTTATGCGAAAAATTATTCCTTTCTCATCACATGTCTATTGTATTTTAAATGCACAGATAAACAATGCCAGTCTTATAATTACCATAATTTTCAAGTCAAGGTTGAGGAACTTAGCAAGACGAATGCCATTGGTAAATTTGGCTAAAATACAATAGACACGTCGAGAAAGGAACCATTTTTTGCATAAACCTGGACAATAACATAGTTAATGAGCTGCTTTATACTTTTATTTAGTCTCCAAACCATGTATTATGTATTAACTGATGAAACAAAGCGGTCAAGTTATTTTTTCCATTAAAACAATAAATAATTTGTCTTGATGCATTTGAAAATGATTCTTTTTGGCCTTACCACTTCATTTATGGCAGACGAGCATTTATACTATTGGATATTTTACCGATCGATCGTATTTCCGATTCAAATGGCGTTTAAAACAATAGAGAAATGAGCGTTTCGGATATGCCTAATGGCGATCTTACTTATAATGAGTGCCTTTACGGACTTTGAACTGCCTTTTAATAACTCAGAACTAAAAGAACCTCGCTTAACCATATAGTTAATATAGATTAATATAGTTAATATAGTTAATATAGGTGCTATGCAACTATATTACCCAACCAGTACTAATTACTAACTCTCCTGACGATCGAAAGCCCTCAGGTCGAAACGTCGAGAAGTGTTTTCTCTGTTTTAGGCAGTTGTTACGCCACATTTGATGCTAAGTTGTTTGAAGACGCTGCCGCGGCGCTCCTGGTTATATTGGAATATATTATTTAATTATTTAACGCCTGAGCAGGAGTTTTAATGTTTCAAAAAAAACATTTGACTGACGACGTCGAACTAACCGCGCCATAGACCTTAAACACCCTAATGGTAATAAGCACGCGCCATTTCGCGGGAACAGATGAATAGTAGTACAAATTGTTCAACTTACAACCATAAACTGGGACGCACTTATGTTTTTAGGGATAAACGATTTATCTCCTCTGAACATCCGCAGCATGTTATTCCTTGAGTGAAAACCAAAAGTATATCACATAGAGAATTATGATAGACCATTTCGATAACACGAAAGGGTCTATTGTCGAAAGGGTCTATTGTAATGGTTTTATCACCTACACTAAATAGTAAAATATTAAGCGGTTCAAAGAGGTTTAAAGGTTTTAAATATCTACATTATTTACTGGTATATTACTTTACTATATTAATCTAATTTTAACCTAATCTTTATCAAATGCCTGTGCATTGCACCCATTCAAGTTTACGTTCACATACTTATGATTTTCCATGAAACGAACGAGGGAGAGCGTACAGATTATTGTTGTAAGAAACACAGCAGCCAAAAGTGAACCTAAAATAAACATGTGCAATAAATTATATATATGCAAAGATCTATAGAGCCTGCACCACCTATACATGAAGCTACTCATAAAAAGATTGTCTAGCTGTTGCCGTTTTTACAGTTATCATTAGGCACCTTAATCATGGAAGACAAAAACACGACGCCGGTGTCTAAAAATACAATTGCTGATTGAAAAAAAAGACTTATGGGAGTTTCACACGTGGTCTACGTTCTGTTTACAACGAATGTCTGCATTTTAGGACGAAGCGAGCGCTACCTTGAATTAGGGTCTATAGCAATGTTCCCAAACATGTTTTTAACGTCTTTTACCAGATCATTAAATTGATACGATTGATATACATGTAGTGTACAACTCTTTACCATACATAACATGTGTTTTAGCCACGTGTCGTCGTGATCCCGTCCTACATGCTTAAGGTCCCTATTATAGCAATAACAAAACTCACCGAACATCCCACGGACCAGGTCCAAAACCCAGGGAATTGAGAAGTTTAAATTTTCTAGTGCCATACTGATCAAATATAAACCTTTGATGAAGAACTTGAACATTTAAGAAAAGAATAAGTCAGAGGCAGCGGAAGATCGTTAGGTAAGGGGGGGCATATATTCATATACATACCAGTAGATCGTTAAAACAATCATATCTAAATATGATAAATATATATATCCCCCCTTACTTGATAAATATATATATCCCCCCTACTTAACGACTTGCACGGCCCCTGGGGATAAGAAATAATTATGTAATTATACACTTTCCCAAAATCTAAACAGACGAAGATCCAATTTGAAGCAGTTGATTCAAATGGATGAAATACATCATCAAAATATATATACACGTTTTGTTTAAACATCTTGCATGGTAAATAAGCCGCTACAGGTTATTTTAGACAACAGATCAGGACTCACAGAATAAAGCAGAATGCCACAGATCATCATCACAGAAAGAGTTTCAGTTGAAAATTTAAAATCTAAAATTGTTAAACAAAAAACTCGAAGTTCACTGTAACAGCAATATGTTAAAGTGCCATGCATGGGCCTTTGCATGGCGACAGATGGCGTATAATATGTTTCCGGAGCAGGGGGTAGCGTGACGAGACGGACTATTTCTCATTAGGGACCGACTTCCTTATAAAGGCCCTGTGACGAGGTAAAATTTTTCATGCAATTTACAATACAATTCTACTTTGTAAACGGAGCTGTAAATTGGGCAACTACACTCCATGGACATGTCTTACACTTCCAGTTTTAAGAAGAAATTTACATCTTTTTAAACTAGAATTGCATTGCAAGTTGCACCCTGTAACACGGCCTAAATAACAACATGCACTGTAGCGCTCGTCGACGTTTAGCTTACATTTGTATGGGGCCCACGGTTTTCGTCTAATGTTTCGAAGCTTCAAACAAGGTAATTTACCTTTCTCGGGATTGTAAATTTTCCTCAGGTAGAACTCAGTTCTTGAATACTGGGGAGGTGGTCTAACGAGGCAAAGTACTGAATTAGAAAATGTCCACTTTAGGATAATCTCAAAAATTTTGGTTGTTGTCATTTTCTTTTGATAAAAAGTCAGCACGGACAAGCAAAGTTGACAAGCTGTTTGGTAATTGAACAAACCTACTGAATAATCCTATATATACCAGTTTTATTATGCATTTTCTTACCTCGGTTGGAAAATGTTTTTCACGTGATTCTTCAACCAAGGTCTGACCAATTTCATTTGCGAAGAGGAACTCTCAACCTAAATGTACACATTTATGGAATTATTATATAAAGAGACTTTTTTAAGCGCTTCTATCATTTTCAAATTGTGAAAAACCACTAAGAACAAAAGAACTACTCTTGTGTATTCAGGGACCGCGGAGAGGTTTTTGGATTGAGGGGGCTTGAACCCAAGGCGTGAACTTTCTAGGCGAGAGTTCTGGTATTCTTGCCAAGAAATTCAGAAATCTGAATCCTGTCGAATTCCCGAAAATGCAATGAAAATTTACTGTTTGCAGTCTAATATGTTTCATACAAATTCCTAAAAAACAATAGATAATACTAGCTAATGTCTAATACAAGCCTCCCCAGACCCACCGAGCTCCGCGGTTGCCATGGCATTCCAGATCTATAAGCATATTCAGAGTTGCAAAAAGAGTTCAAGTTTTGAAAACGTAACCTTCCTCAAAATTATGTCACGTCACTGGGTCAGGTGGCAACCAGCATAATGAAGTATTTAGTTTTTTGGTACAGCATGTGATCAATTAGAGTGTTCAAACTTCCTCACCCGCGTACCGTAGCTTTTTTTGCAACTCTGAGCATATTCTTCATAAGTCGAAAAGTTTTGTCATGCAGTTTGCAGGTTTGGGCAGAACTTATGCCCAAACCCGACTGGATGAATTCACCTCGCATCTCCCCTATGTAAATGGTGGTATACCTCAAACTAAACTGGCTCTGCTATATCAACCAACCAACTTACATCACGGGAAAATAACTGCACTCCGAAGATTCCATATTCTTTAATCTCTCGATAAAGTACGAGTATGAACTTGCCAATGATGAAAACATAACATATTAATATCGGCAAAGTTGACAAAAAGATTAACCAGTGCCCGGACGCAGTATTGTTCTAAGGATTGATAAACAAAAACACAATGTCAATTGCTGGTATAAAGCTGTAGAGGTATCCAGTTAAGAAAACGGAATAAAGGTGGCAGTTTACGATTGGACATTTTGCTGCAATTTTAGACGCTATTTTCATCTTTTGATAAATGTGAACCAATGAGTAGGTTACGGACGTGTAACTTCAACTGAGACATAACTGAGCACATCAGAGTGTATCAGAAAAAGCTCAGAAAAAGGAGATTTTAAAATGTCCATAAAACTATTCTTTATTAAGTTCATTTAAGGAGGTGGAACTTTTGGCCCCTTTGTGCAACGTACCAAAATTTCAGAAAATTTGATGAACATTAAGACGTGCCATGCTTTTTACATGCAAGAATGATTACGTGCGTCACTCGATGGATCTCGCGTTAAAATTATCACGTAAGTTTTGGCTGGCTGGTGATTGTGTTTTTGGGCAAGTTGTAAAAAGCTAGTTATTAACGTTCTCTGCAAGCTAGGTTTGCCCAATGTATATTGATCGTGTTTTTTTTGTGTTAACCACGACGTTAATACACGTCTCTCTGGAGGGCGCCTTTTGTTTTGGGTAACTGATATCGGCTACTCTCTCTACGTGCCCAAATTTTCTCAAGGGGAAAGGACTGTCGTGCACAAAAAAAATCACACATATGAACTTACTTTACACTTCTGAAAAGCGCTTGCTAATACTACGCAAAAACTAGAGTGAAAAACAAAACAAACTGATTATTTTTCACCATATAATTTATATACAATATCCGTTTTGATTGTTTAGTCACCTACAAAAAAAAATTAGCACTGGGATTTCCTTTTTTTGGCACTAGAATTTCCTATTTTTGGCACTGGGATTTTCTGAAAATTGCACTGCTCTAAACTAATCAGAATTGAGAATTTTTTTATGTAATTTTAGAATAGGTAGTTTGACTTGACGCAACATCCCTCTGTACGGAAAATTTGGTCATAAAACGGCAGTTGTGCACTCTTTTTAAACATAAATATTTTTTCTTATTTAATTTTCTTTTACCAGATAATCGCCTCATTAATAACATTTTTACCGTCATTTAAAATTTGGATTTCCTGTCTTGTGTTTATAGTCAGACGAATGATCTGTCAGACGGATCATTCTGTATAAATTGGGCCAATTTATTATTAATATCAGGCTGAATCTCATGTAATAACTATTCATTACAGGACTGGAAAAAGGTTTACTTGTAATTGATGATTTGTGGACTTCTTCGGTAAAAAGAGTAGGAATGGTCGTGCCCGTGGATCGAACCTGGTTTAAACAATTACTGTCAATTGAGCTTACTTACTAGATCACGCTATATGGAAGGCCCATCATTGCTCCAACAATTCTATGATACGACGTCAGGCAAGCGAAGTAGGGATAATAAATTAAAGCAATTTCAATTGCAATGCCAACGATGAGAAACGCTATAAAGAAATATTCACAACAACTAGTGCGGCGCCAGGTTAAAATAAAAAAGGAGGGGCAGTTGGGGCTCAAATGAATGTTTTAGGGGGGCAAGATTGAAGCGAACATAGCATGTAACTATAAACTACTTACGTAACAGGACAATATTTGGGGGGGGGACGACAACGAAATTGCGGGAGGGGGGACGCTGCAGGTTCATTGTTTATTGAAATGAAATACGAATATTTCGTTTTACAATACATTACATTTTCACTACCTTTTCCCCAAGCATTGCTGCCTTCGATCACTCCTGCTAAAACTAGACTGAGGATTGAACCAGTAGCAGCTCCAAACACAAACATGGTGGCAAGTCTGTCATGATCAATACCAAGGAAATCTACAGGGCTACACATGGTTGAATATTGTTCAGGATATTGCGGAAAAAACACGCAACGCGCGGGTCGGAAACTGTAGGAATATGTCGTAGATATGCGTGGACGCCACGCGCGAGTAGAATCATGCGTGGGTGTGAGAAATGGGGCAAACAATGCATAATAATGACGCGTAAATACGCATGATACTGTAAATACGCATGATATCGTAAATACGCATGATATCGTAAATACGCACGGTGACATGTGTTTTCGGCAACAATTTACTCAAATTACACAAATGCCGAAGAGTGTAGATTCCTGTAACGTTCACTTATGACACAGTAAGAATTCAGGAGGAAAATATTTCATTTTACTAGGGTTACAAATGCTGATACAAGTCATTACACGTGCACCATGTACTTAATAGTGGGTTGCATTGTAAAAGGAAAAACAACACCTTAACTTCAGCGGGTCATTTTGGTGTATCGGTTACAATTCTTGTGCGATGAGCAGTTGAGCACACACTCATAACTGCTCTTCAGCAGATGCTCACATGCTAAATGAGATCTTTCACACCCACTGGAAATTCTTGCCGAACTGGGGTGGGGAAGAAACAAAATTTCAGACATGGAATAACGATTTTGATCAGACTCCAGAAAGCATTGGAAAATATCTACTTAGATGAGACAACTAAAGAAAGATCCAGTATATAAGAAAATAATGCACCCAAAAGATGTATTTATTCAAAATGATGATTTTCACCAAGAAGAAGCGATTGAAGCTGCGGTTGATAAGTGAAAAGGCTTTTAAACGACCAAGATATTGAGGATGACGTGGTTTTGAAGAAATTATTGTTTATTGCTGATTTGCTGTAACTAATTGCAAGACAAACAAATATTGAGCAGTTGTGAGCGTGTGCTCAAAAATTGTAACCGATATACCAAAATGACCAGCTGACTCACAATGTCACCCACTATTAAATACACAGTGCATGTGTAATGACTTGTATCAACATTTGTAACCCTAGTAAAATAAAACATTTTCCTCCTGAATCCTCACTGTGTGATAAGTAAAGCCCGTTTTCCACTTCAACCGTATCGTAGTGGGTCATCTACTCGCTCGTATTAAATCGAATTACAATATTTGTACAAAATCTTTTTATCGAGTTATATTATAAAAGAATAGAAAACATTCAGTTATAGAAACACTTGTGGAAGTTTGGGAGAACTCGAAATAACGTGGAAAAAATCATCTTACGGTCTCGTTTTCATACTGATTGTTTCTCGTTTTCCCAAACACGCGTTTCTTTAACTGCATAGAAACACGAAAAATGTTTTCTATTTCTTAAATAGCAGTCGACATGATATAACTTTAACAGTGTAGATCATTAAAGGAAGCGTACTTTATAAATACCGAAGCTAGACCACGTTGTGTGTTACGTAAACTGGGCTCGTTAGACTTCTAACGTGAAAGTCGCACTCTCAAAAAAGTTCCATTTCGAGCAGATGACATGCAGACCCGGTGAGATATTCTCATAAAAAGCATATTGCGTAGTGAAATTTTCGGTAATTACGTCACAACATTTTAACATCACAACGTTTCAAATTGAAAACCACCTTAAATGAAATGGATTTCAAGTTTTACTCTCACAAGTCCCCTACAATGATGCAAAACATCCTTCTTCAACACATGCATGAAAAAATATTTTTTGTTTTAACCAATAAGCCATAACACGAGAACGAGGCTGAGGGGCCAAGACCGCGAGCCGTTCCCGCATTATGGCTTGTTTCCATATTTATTTGTAAAAAGGCACGTCAGTGAATGCTTAAATTCTTTTTCATGCACGGGTTATAGAAAAATGTTTGCATCTTGGCACATACCTTGTGAGAATAAAACTTGAATTGAAATCCATCTTATTTAAGGTGGTACTAAATTTAAAACGATAATGTTGTGACGTGATTACCGAAAAAGTCTATCTTACATAACAAGTCCTGGTCGGCCTCCCCAAACGTCTTTCTTGAAACTCTTTCTTCGTCGCAAAAATGACAGTATCGTGAGAATTATTGCCTGGAAGAGATTGCACATTTCCATCACTCGTTATACATCATCTTCAACCCGACATGCAATGACAATTACCTTGGTAAAATATTGTGATTATGGACTCTGTCAGAAATATTAGTCTTGCAAATGTATAAAAAGGTACACGTGGTTAACTTTTATAACCGTAGTTATTTAGAAAGAATCGGCAAATCAGAGCTGCTTGTGTATTCTCAGTGAAGTTGCATTCCAGATATGCAAAACGTCATAGTTAAGACATTAAGACAGTAAATATGTTGTAAAAAATAAAATGATGTAAAAACAGGGGAATTTCGTTTTAGACCAATCAGCAAGTTTGTTTTCGTTTTCGGTAACCCAATCAGAATTCATAAATTTTGACTACCTTCAATAATAAGGTACATCATTTACCATTTTACATAAAGTATTAAAAACTTAGGCATTCTGATTAGCTTTGCCTAAAAGATGTAAGAAATCATGTCGATTAAGTTTAAAACGAAATTCCACCTTGTTTGATTCAACACTTTAAACTTACAGCAGGAATCAGAAACAGGTGAGGATAATATCTCGTATCGACATCACATGCAACACTAGAAATAAGAAAACACATTGACACTTGAAACAATTACAGACATTTATAGCTAATTAAGCAATTATCATGTATACTCACGCAGTGGGAGATTCGTTGGATGATAAGTTTGTCTGGTTAGTCATTGCTGGTGAGATACGTAAGCTATAAGAGAAATCGGAATAAGGCCTGCTATCCATTGCAACAATATTGTAGCGAAGCTTAGCGTAATCCTTAATTTGTTTCAAAGTCATTAGTTCTATCTGTGAGTGCCTAGGAAAGAATGATATATTCGCTGCGGTACGGCCGAAGTGGAAAACAGCGCTAAGCCAGGTTGTGACCAACAATAGACTACAACTTTTTATCTATGCAAGGAAATGCAATCAAATCACCACAGCTGAAAAGAGCTTACTGAAATTACTCAAGTAGTAGAAATGCAAAGTTTGGTTGCGAAATGTTGTAAAATACAGAAAATATAGCCTTGCGAAGTTCGCAAATTGGTATACTTTTCAGGACAAACGGAAATTGTTAGCACATTTAGGTCAAAAATGGTAACAATTTCTGTTTGTCCTAAAAAGTATATACAAATTTGCAAACTTTGCAAGCATAAAGGTTCGACCTACGACATAATCACATAAAATGGTCATCATATACGTTATATCAGATGGCAAGCCTCACTAGTACACTACAATTCTACAAATAGGGAGCTTTAGCAGTGACTACGAGTACGACGACGAAAACTCGGCCAAAACTCGTAGTCGCTGAGTACGCGTATAGATATGATGAGGGTTCAGACACAAATTTAACCACACGGTCCCTCTCACTAGCAAATGAGAGTTTATTTTCATGTTTGTTGTCAATATAAATGGTTCGGCTCCATTTTCAAATTTCGGGGGGGGGGGGATGATGCCTCTAGTCACGTATGGCACGCCGATTGTAGCAATATTCAAACCACCAATATATACTAAATTCAATGAAAAATCTAACCAATTCAATAGAAAACTTATTCAATTCAATAGAAAACTTATTTTCATGCAATAAAAAACTTATTCAGTTCAATAAAAAATATTCAATTTAATGAAAAATTCAATTCAATGAAAAATTCAATTCAATGAAAAATTCAATTCAATCAAGCGCGGTCGCTAAGCAAACTTGTCGACGGTTTCCATGACAACGGCTGCCATTATTTTTTGCATCATTATTTGTACTTTTTAAAATCAGATCATCAGATACTAGTAGAGTTCTTTCCTTGAGTGTAAAATAGTTGTTTCATAAATCGCAATACGTATGAATTCTGCTGAAGAAACAAATATCATTAGTGACAACGGATTAGATGCAGAAATAACTGCAGAGTTAGAAGTGGAGCTACCGAATCTCTTGCTTTCTATTTTGGAAAGAATAGAGCAAATGTTGGGAAATATTGACGGTGAGGTTGATTCAAATTCTATGCTATGCCAAATAACCGTGCTTGACCAAGTTGTGAGTTTCCTTAGAGCTGTTGCTGAAGATGATGACGCCGATAGACATACTTGGGCAACTTTGGCTGGAATTTTCTCAGAATTATTAACCATCATTCAGCTCCGTCAATTTGAGTTACTAGAAAGGCCGACTGTGATTTCAATATTAAATTGCGAAGTGAGGCAAACGGGTGAACCAGGAAGACCATCATTTAACATCTCAGCAGAGATGCTAGAAGACCTGAGAGGTTATGGTTTTTCGTGGACAAAATTGCTCAGATATTGGGTGTATCCAGATGGACTGTTCACAGAAGAGTAAGAGATATGGGCCTCACAAACTTAGTGGAGTTTACTCTAATATCTGATAATGAACTGGATGCGCTGGTTTCTAGTTACATTAATCGGCATGGGAATAATTCAGGGCAAGTATACATTATAGGATACTTACGTTCCCTTGGAATCCGTGTTCAGAGACAGCGCGTACGGGAATGCATCACTCGTCTAAGCCCAGAAAATGTGATGCGACGGTGGGGAGCAATTGTTCACCGAAGGCAGTATTATGTCCCATGGCCAAACTCTCTTTGGCATTTAGACGGGCATCATTCGCTTATACGCTGGGGCTTTGTTGTCCATGGTTGTATCGACGGTTTCTCTAGGAGAGTAATCTTTCTTACACTGTAGCACTAACAACTTGTCAGAAACAGTCCTTTCTCATTTTTTGAATGCAATTGAGGAAGATGGCGGATTATGGCCATCACGCATACGCGTAGACAGAGGCGTTGAGAATGTCCTTGTCTGTGATGCTATGGTTGAGGCAAGAGGGGAAGGGAGAGGAAGCTTTATTGCAGGACCCTCGACTCACAATCAACGTATCGAACGATTATGGCGCGATGTGTTTCGTTGTGTTTTACATTATTTCTACTACGTGTTTTACGCAATGGAAGATGCCGGGCATTTATTTCTAGATAACCCCACACATGTGTTTATAATGCACTATGTATTCTTACCCAGAATCAACCAAGCACTCCATGAATACAAGAGAGCTTTTAATGAGCATGGTGTTAGAACAGCTAATAATTGGTCACCCAATCAAATGTGGCTTAATGGAATGATGAATGAAGAAAATCCGTTAAAACATGATGTCTTAGATGAAACGCCAGATGACTTGCAATATTATGGATATGATCCTTTTGCGCCTTCACCATTTGAAGACAGTGATAACAATGTTGTTGTTTCTCCCATTTATGAAACACCTGACATAGGATTCATGAGAGTTCTGCAAGTAGTAAATCCCTTAAGAGACTCCAATAATATGGGAATTGATGTGTACCTAGAAGCACTTACCCTAATTCAAGGGTTGCTGAATGCAGATGAAACACATTAGAGATAAACATTGCTAGTAATTATACTTATAAACCACACAATTCTACAACTATAGCTGTAGAAACAAATCATAACTTTTTTATTATATACAATAGTAACAATACTCTTATTTAGTCTACATCTGATAAAACAAAGAATCTTTTAAAAATGTTTCATGATTCAAAATCTAGAGTTGATACATAATTATATAATTATATACCGTTTCTACTAACAAAAATAACAATAACACAGAAAATTTTATCTGACTGGCAGATAATTATTATACCTTATCAACAGAACACAAATTAAGCAATTAGTTTTACTGCTTTAGTTAAGGACTTAAGGTATATGTATTACTTATGTCCAAAATATTCATTAACGAAAGCCATGTCATAGAAATTAAATAGCGTATCATCATCTGGGAGACCTACTTCAATTGTAGGTCTTGGTAACTGTAATTTACTACAGCATGTATTTGCAGTAGGAAAGAATGACTTGTTTTCAGGAACTTCATAAAACGTGATTGATGGTTTTGCTGCGTATTCATAGCCTAAAAGAGGTATTTCATCATCACATGTAGCAAATCGCAATATAGTATTCAGTGAAATACCACTACGTTCACCATCTGCAAGAAATGATTTAAAATTAGAAGTGGTTAAATATTATATTAAAGTCGATAAAAAGTTAGGAGTGCATGCATAAAATTACAGCTAAATTCTATTCAAATGGCATTGAATTAAACGCAAATTATATTCGGTCCCAGTAACTTAATTCTTACTTGCAACCTTTCTAAGATATTTCACAAACACTGCATAAACATCATTTTCAAATTTTCTTTTGTTGGAGCCTTCCTCGCTGAAAATGGGCTTAAATAGGTTGACAAATGATCTTAAGGTCAGGTTGGTTTGTCTGTGATTGAAGATATTTAGGAAATTTGGTAACTGCATTCCAACCTAATAAACATATTTATTCAATTAAATATAAATAATTGGCATTAACACAGGCTGTCCTGAACCAAGTTGTAAATTTCACCTGATGTAAACAATAACGTGCAATCTATTTTGGTTGACCATGCCTTATTAATTGTTCATTAACCCATATTCACTTGGTTTGATAAATAGCAATTTCAATTATGAACATTTTTTGGATTAAGTACCTGATATATGCCAAGTTTTTCAAAACCCAGACGCAGTTGATGAAGACAACCATTCAGAGGAACAGAATGAAAAACAATTTTCAGGGAACTATCACTTAGAAAGTAAGGTATTTTTCCATTTTGTAATATGCTGAGTCCTAAAGACAAATTACATTGATACTATATATTTTAGAGGCAATGTAAGCTAAATGTTGCATTGAAATTTTTTGAGCTTTCAAATTGTTGCTTTGAGTCTTTTTCTGTATTACAGTCTGAAATCATTTTCATTGGGGGTGTGGGCAAATTTGATATCTGGTTTTTAATTGTATTATAACTCCCTATATTTATATGTATAATTACCTAATATAATTCCTGCTGTACAATAGTCTTCAGAAATATATTCTTTCAAGCCATTTTTGAAGTATTTGTTATATATTTCTTGAACCACAATCGAAAAAAACTCCTTTCGAGGTCCTCCAAGGTCTTGTGCTGTCTACCAATTACATTACATGCACTGGTGAATGTTTAATGAGATAGAGTATGGGCATGTGACCTGTATGCACTGCAGGTGATGCAATGCTTTAAAGTATTTTAATCTAATATATATATATATATATATATATATATATATATATATATATATATATATATATATATATATATCTGTCAGGTCAATGTTCAAGTCTACATTTGATGCTTCTAAGGTCTATGACTGGGTTATTAAGTTTGGCCATTTTTCTACAATCTTTTTCGGTTCAATGTTGATTTGCGCTAGGTATGGTTATGGTATTTGTCTTTAAATTTATGGAAGACCCAAATAAAAACCTAACCCTTATCCCCAAACCATAAACATAACAATACATAATTTACATGTATATATGGGCAGTTAATAGAAAAGTATCTAGATGATACGAAAAGGAAAAAAAAACAGTGAAAGCTTAACAAACTTACTTCCCCATAAAACTGCACTTCAAGTGTTTTGCGTAAATTTTCCAAGGATTTTATCTCTTCAAATGATGTTTCTAATATGTTATAGCGGTCAACCATTATGAGGTTGGTTTCTCCTTCTTCAACCAAATTAACATCTTGAATGCCCAAGGCTCTGCCTTCAACCATGATTTTTTGAAAATACCTCAGTACCTCTATAGGATCTTCAATATTATGTGATGTACAATAGTTAACTGTCATTGTAGCAAGGTCATCAACTTTGGCATTTTCAGGCCCAGCAACAACGGAACAATTCTCAACAATTCTTGACGAAGCTTCAGATGTTGGTTCAGGTTGACATTCATCATGTATTCCACGAATCAGAACCAAATCTAGGAGGGAATAAAGAAGGTTGCATGAAAGTCATGTCATGAAAATACAAGTCATGAAACTAACACCTAATAATTTTCTTGTATGATTGCATGGCGACTTTAGTAATTATAATAACTTGTAGGTACACCACGTAAGTATTAAATACTGCAAAGCTTTCGGTCCGTTAACCCGGACCTTCACTGATGAAGGTCATGTTATTGCACTGATGAAGGTCCGGGTTAACGGACCGAAAGCTTTGCAGTATTTAATACTTACGTGGTGTACCTACAAGTTATTATAAACTAACACCTATAAACATGAAATACAAACAATTGACTCTTTCTTTTGAAGTTGACTTACTATACATGATAGACCAGCAGTATTGAAAGGGGGGTTGTCCAGGGGAGATCCAGGGTAAACCAGGGTAAATATAAATTACTAGGCCATGTAATTTATTCTGACTTACCCTGAACCTGCCACTGGGCCGGGCCTCCCCCTAATTAATTCCTATTTCCTTGTTACATAATCCAAGGCATAATCCACACAGAAGTTGCATGGGAGGGGGCCGAGGGGCGGAATCCTCCATGCTGCTCTATGGCCATGCAGGATTTGTGACCAGAGCAATTCTTATGTAAAATTCATGACTTTTGAGCCTGTTGGTTTTAATAGCATCGCCCCTCCTGCCATTTATTTATAGCTACTACTGAGCTACATACGTGCTCAAAACAATGAAAACATACCGTCGTCGTCAACATTTGTTTCTTCTTCTTGTAATAAACAGTAAATGTGGTCTTTTAGCTTTAAATAAATAGAACCTTGTCCAGCCAACAACTTCACCTGTTTGAAGTCGTACGCTCCACTGTTGACCGGTTTGGTCAACACTCGTCTTGTAGCTCGCAAGAATTCGAAATCTTCGTTGTTGAGAACGCTGTATTTCATTCGAGCTGCTGTTCCAATTTTCTCTCGCACTTCTTTTTCGCCTGAGCTGTTACTGATTTCAATAATTCCTCGCAGTAAAACGATGTCTTCCGAGAATGACCACGAATTTGCCTCACCTTCTCTTATATCGACAATTACAAACTCAAACACTTTTTGCTCGTCCTTCTTCTGCTTTTTCGGTGCATTTTGCTGATGAGATGTAGCTCTCAAACGTTCTCTTCTTCCAAGTCGTGAACAAGCGCCATTAGATATTGATTGGGAAATCATTGCTCGGGCCCGACTTAATACAGAGCCGACAGACGTTGTACTGGACATACTTGTTGTTGTAGTTGCAGAAGATGGTGCAGACGTTGTAGGTGCATCAGATTGTTCAATTAAAGTGGATATTATATTACTGGCTTCCGTCAAATGGCGAGAAAGATAACGCAAACGATTGTTAACGTCGTCCATTTTCAAAACACAGATAATTTGCAGGAACCGCGGGAAAATTACATGCAAAAATATGGCAGCCATTGTCATGGAAACCGTCGACAAGTTTGCTTAGCGACCGCGCTTGATTGAATTTTCCATTGAATTGAATTTTTCATTGAATTGAATTTTTCATTGAATTGAATATTTTTTATTAAATTGAATATTTTTTATTGAACTGAATAAGTTTTTTATTGCATTAAAATAAGTTTTCTATTGAATTGAATAAGATTTTTTATTGAATTGGTTAGATTTTTCATTGAATTTAGCATATATTGGTGGTTTGAATATTGCTACAATCGGCGGGCTATCTGTAAAACAAGGAACGGGGAATCGGGGAAAGGAATGAGGAAAGGAACGGGGAACGGCAAAACAAGGAATGAGAAAAGCCGGAATCTGTAAAACAAGGAATGAGAAAAGCCGGAATCTGTAAAACCAGGAATGGGAAAAGCCGGAATCTGTAAAACCAGGAATGGGAAAAGCCGGAATCTGTAAAACCAGGAATGAGAAAAGCCGGAATCTGTAAAACCAGGAATGGGAAAAGCCGGAATCTGTAAAACCTGGAATAAGAAAAGTTTGTAACTAAATTAGTTACAATTTCCGCGCGTAATACAAAATATGCTAATTTGACATGGCTATATTTTCCGTATTTTACCAAATTTCGCAGCCAAACTTAGCATTTCCACTAATTCAAGTACGCTTAATTCTTTTATCTGTTATATGGAACATAAACTGCATTCTTTTGTGGGCGAAGGAATATATAATACATATATAATTATACAAACGATGAAACGATCACAAGGACTGACAAGGTTAGTTTGCAAACAGTTAAATTTGTTGATTTGGTCTTATTCATAAACCTACAAAGTGGAGCTTTGTGCGTTGCTATCTACCGTTTAATATCTACATTGCTATTGAAATTGAATAATGTTTGGTTGGAAATGAAAACTTTTTGGATCCAAATTTAAATTTCCAAATTTTCATATGAATTGCATACTGCATGATATAAAATATGCAAGAACAACTTCATTAAATACACAATATATTTTCCTTTTTCTATATTCAGTTCATTGTATTTACAACTACCTAATATATCAGTATAAATCTATGCGAACAACAATTTTGCTCCATTTAATACATACATGTTAAGCTTATTTTGCAATATATATTTGTCATAGTTCATGGTAACAGCTTATCATTATTGAATCAGATTACCCCTGAACAATGCACTACACTTTTGTTGTCCCAAATATAATATAATTTTGCTTGTAAGTAAAATTGTATAGAAAATGAAAATATTTTAGTGCATTTTGTACCTTAATTAACTCAGATTATAATTAAACAGTTACCATTCTCACCCAAGGTTTTAATGACTGGAGGCTGATTAAAAATATACAATAATAATCTGTAAGTAACTAACAGTTGCAATTAATTAAAATCTTGGCTCTTTGAGAACAACTTTGTGTTGGGATGGAATTTTGGAATATACCCTAGGTCTTGTTTAGAAAAGTATAATTTCCAACCAGCATTTACTAGCTTTTTCAAATAATTTATTCAAATAAAAATGCATTAGAAATTGTGTAGGGAAAACCTAGCTGTGGTTTTCTAGGCTAGCATGATTCAATATGAAAAGCTTTTACTATGACTATATAGTGCAAAATAATGTATTAAGTGCAGCAAAATTAATTGTTGTTTGCATAATGATATATGTATTATATATTCCTTCAATCCTTCCTCCACAAAATAATTCAGTTATGTTCCATATAACTGATAAAAGAATTGAGATATGTTGTTAAATTTTAGAATATTGTTATTGCTGCTACTTAATATAAATCTACTCTACAGTATGTAAACAACAATAGGATATATTCCAAAATTCCATCCCAACACAAAGTTGTTCTCAAAGAGCCAAGATTTTAATTAATTGCAACTGTTAGTTACTTACAGATTATTATTGTATATTTTTAATCAGCCTCCAGTCATTAAAACCTTGGGTGAGAATGGTAACTGTTTAATTATAATCTGAGTTAATTAAGGTACACTAAAATATTTTCATTTTCTATACAATTTTACTTACAAGCAAAATTATATTATATTTGGGACAACAAAAGTGTAGTGCATTGTTCAGGGGTAATCTGATTCAATAATGATAAGCTGTTACCATGAACTATGACAAATATATATTGCAAAATAAGCTTAACATGTATGTATTAAATGGAGCAAAATTGTTGTTCGCATAGATTTATACTGATATATTAGGTAGTTGTAAATACAATGAACTGAATATAGAAAAAGGAAAATATATTGTGTATTTAATGAAGTTGTTCTTGCATATTTTATATCATGCAGTATGCAATTCATATGAAAATTTGGAAATTTAAATTTGGATCCAAAAAGTTTTCATTTCCAACCAAACATTATTCAATTTCAATAGCAATGTAGATATTAAACGGTAGATAGCAACGCACAAAGCTCCACTTTGTAGGTTTATGAATAAGACCAAATCAACAAATTTAACTGTTTGCAAACTAACCTTGTCAGTCCTTGTGATCGTTTCATCGTTTGTATAATATATATGTATTATATATTCCTTCGCCCACAAAAGAATGCAGTTTATGTTCCATATAACAGATAAAAGAATTAAGCGTACTTGAATTAGTGGAAATGCTAAGTTTGGCTGCGAAATTTGGTAAAATACGGAAAATATAGCCATGTCAAATTAGCATATTTTGTATTACGCGCGGAAATTGTAACTAATTTAGTTACAAACTTTTCTTATTCCAGGTTTTACAGATTCCGGCTTTTCCCATTCCTGGTTTTACAGATTCCGGCTTTTCTCATTCCTACAGATTCCGGCTTTTCCCATTCCTGGTTTTACAGATTCCGGCTTTTCTCATTCTTGGTTTTACAGATTCCGGCTTTTCTCATTCCTTGTTTTACAGATTCCGGCTTTTCTCATTCCTGGTTTTACAGATTCCGGCTTTTCTCATTCTTGGTTTTACAGATTCCGGCTTTTCCCATTCCTTGTTTTACAGATTCCGGCTTTTCTCATTCCTTGTTTTACAGATTCCGGCTTTTCTCATTCCTTGTTTTGCCGTTCCCCGTTCCTTTCCTCATTCCTTTCCCCGATTCCCCGTTCCTTGTTTTACAGATAGCCACAATCGGCGTGCCATAGTCACGCTTTTTTAATCAGAAGTGAAACATCTGGGTGTAATCTGTATCGTAAGCAAACAACGCGCGACATTCTCGCGGCGAGAATGACGAATCTCGTCACTCGTTGTCACTTCTAAAGCTCCTTGATAATACAGACATAACAGGTATTGGCGAATTTATGTAATTATATGTAATTATATAAACATATATTACCCGCTATTCTGCTATTAGGAACAACGATGCTTCACAATAGTGAGTCTACACTGTCAATTTGTTTCCAAATATAGAAGCAATGGATAATGCTTTAGGATTAGTCAAATATGCTTTATATTTCTCTTTCATTTTCCTAATTGAGCATGTAAACTATATAGTAGAGTAGCCTGAATATAAGTTATATAGCGACAAGCCAGTCTACAATAAAGTAATAACAATGTCGATATTTTTGCGGACTTACGGACGATTGATTTTTCCTGGAAACAAAATTCTCTGGATGGAAACGCTTCTTGCTCGAAATAAAAGTTTACGCTTGACACGGGAATCGAGACGTATCGGGTTTCATAACTACATAAGCCTGATTCTCAAATTTCACGGCCTGACACTCGGCAATTATCCGAGTCAGTGGCACATGAAATGAATTTAAGCATTTGAAATAAACGACAGAATTTTTAATTGCAAACATGTTTCGACTTAACTATAAGCCATCTTCAGTGCGAATGAATTAGTTATTTACATTGTTAAATATATAAAGTAGAAATAAATCAAATAATGATACAGGCGAGGTGATACTCAATGAATAACATAATTATTTACTACAATGATTGACAACATAACAGGATACAAGATATGCATAATAAGTAGAACAGCACGACAGACACAGACAAAATGGGTAACACGGGTAACGGATAACCGGGTAATCGGATAGCCGGATAACCGGTAACTCTAGTAACTGATCATTGATAAATATCCACGTTCGATATCGAAATAAAGATAATTTCTAGTCTTAACGGTAAATTAGATTAAGAACAACAGTAACTTCAATTTCTATAACTAGGATATCTATTTACATTTTTGAGTCTAGATGTCTTTCAGTGTTTGTAGAAGTCTTCACCGCCGGTTTAACAAAACGTTAGATTTAATAACAAAACTTTTGAATTTCCAATGATTATTGATATCATATTTTTAAAGTAGTGTCTGACTGTTTGATCACGTAGAAAAACGTTCTCGCAGATGCTTTAGGTGAAACAACTGAATGAAGGGTCGAATGTCCGAACTGATGGGACTTAATTTGCGGGCTTCAAAAATTTGATCCATATTCTTAGCACATGAGTTGCACAGTGAAAATATTCATTTCTCAGCTGGCTTTTTGCTTGTCCTTGGTATGTACACTCTCGGAACATATCGTTGGGTGGCTCTGGGATATGATTGCAAAATAGAGCAGCAAAAGCTGCAAAATAGAGCAGCGAGGGTAATCACCAAATCTCTAATTGATGCTAGTTCCAGCGACCTTTTTAACAAACTAGGTTGGGATATTCTTTCATTACGCCGGAAAAAACATATAAGCCATAAGGCTGTGATGATGTTCAAAACTCTAAATGATTAAACACCGACATATCTTCTTGATTTATTTCAAGTTCGCAGCACTAGATACAACTTAAGAAATTCTGAAAACACTTTATTTGTGCCAAAACCGCGAACAAATCATGCTAAACGAAGTTTTAGTTATAGTGGCGCAGTGTTGTGGAATGAGTTACCACTAAATGTACGAGCATTTTATGCTCCCTTAACCAGTATAAAAGAGAGATTTAATACTCCCGCAGGGCAATCTTGTAAATCAGTAATAAGTTT